GCCATTTTGGCACCACCTTACCTCCGGGAGTCATGATTTGAACAAACTTGAATCGTCACTACCTGAGGATGATTCCCTATGAATATAACTAAGCATGGCTTTGAAGTACTTTTAAAAGGTTTCCCTATATATTCCAATGAAAAAAATTTGATCGGCCATTTTGGCCCCACTCTACCCTCGGGGGTCATGATTTGAACAAACTTGAATCTGCACTACCTGAGAATGATTCCATAATTATGAGTTTCATCTTTCCATGCCCAGTGGTTCTTGAGAAGAAGATTTTTAAAGATTTTTTAAACATATTCCTATGATAAAATTTGATCAGCCATTTTGGCCCCAACCTACCCCCGGGGGTCATGATTTGAACAGAATCGAATCTTCACTACCTGAGGATGATTCCATATAAATATAACTAAGCATGGCTTTGAAGTACTTGAATAGAAGATTTTAAAAGTTTTACTAATATATTCCAATGTAAAACTTTTATCGGCCATTTTGTCCCCACCCTATCCTCGGGGGGTTATGATTTGAACAAACTTGAATCTACCCTACCCGAGGATGATTCAGCATGAGTTTCATCTTTCCTGGCCCAGTGGTTCATGAGAAGAAGATTTTTAAAGATTTTTCCTGTATGTTCCTTTGTAAAACTTTGGTCGGCCAGTTTGGCCCCACCCTAGTCCCGGGGATAATGATTTGAACAAATTTAGAATCTACACTACCTGAGGATAATTCCATGTGAGTTTCATCTTTCCTGGTCCATTGGTTCTTGAGAAGAAGATTTTTAAACGATTTTTTCTATATATCTCTATGTAAAACTTGGGTCGGCCATTGTGGCCCCACCCTAGCCCCAGGGGTCATGATTTGAACAAACCTGAATCTACACTACCTGCGGATGATTCCACATGAGTGTCATCTTTCCTGGTCCATTGGTTCTAGAGAAGAAGATTTTTAACGATTTTTTCCATATATTCCTATGTAAAACTTGGGTCGGCCATTTTGGTCCCACCCTAGCTCCGGGGGTCAAGATTTGAACAAAGTTGTATTTTCACTACCTGAGGATGATATCAAATGAGATTCATCTTTCCTTGCCCAGTGGTTCTTGAGAAGAAGTTTTTTTAAAAATACCATTAATTTTTCTCTCATTCATAATTATCTCCCCTTGGAAAAGGGCATGGCCCTTCATTTGAACAAACGTGAATCTCCTTTACCCAAGGATACTTTGCAGCAAGTTTGGTTAAAATTGGCCCAGTGGATCTTGAGAAGAAAATAATGTGAAACGCTTACGACGACGACAACGACAACAAATACGACAACGACAGACAACGGACAAATTTTGATCAGAACAGCTAACTTGAGCCTTCGGCTCAGGTGAGCTTAAAACCAATAAGAAAACGTATTGATTACCAAAGGGAAAAACTCACCGCTGTGTAAAAATACAGCACAAACTAATCTTAAACAATATTATAAAAAAAAAAATAAAAATGCCACAATGCCGTCAAAATCAAGTAAGCGAAACAAAATTCAAACTTGATCAAGAAAATTATATATTACATTTCCAATGCCGTTGTCCGAGATAAAATTACAAATAGTTAATTTACTTTATTTCCTCATCATTGTACTGGTTCATCAACAGGCGTGATTAAAAAAATTTCGTTGCAGAGCGGAAAATATATAGACAAGAAGCGGGGCTTCTAGCACGCGAATTGGCGGTATGAAGAGTATGCAAATATAAGGAATTATTTTAACTGTCAGATTTTTTGATTTCATGACAATGATCAATCGATTGGCTTGCGTGATATCTTTATGCATACATGTAAACCCCTTCAGCATTTTATGCAAATTATCACGCAATCCAATCGATCGATTACATCATGCAATCGAAAAAAAAGGCATGTATTCTTTTAACAATCACATACCAGAAACCACCTAAATATCTGCAAGCGGTTCCAAATCCATGTGGAACAACTGACAGAGGGACAGACAGGCACCTAAACGGACAGACAGACAGATTAACAAACTCAGAGAAAACATGTAGACTCATCCTGTTTCACAGGTAGGGGTCAATTATTAAACTTCTCCAATGATCTTGACTATGTCAAATGTATATATTTCATGTAGCCATTGCACTTCACTATCATCAAATTCATAGAAAAGTTACCTCCCTTGTAAATGCATATCCTTGATTCAGTTTCTTAGAGAGGAACTTGATGTGATGTGATGTTATCTTATGTACCGTAAATATATAGAAAACATGTCTAGGCATTGGGTACTACACATAAAACACACACTCACCGATTGACAAATTACCATCACTTTAATTATGAAATAAATGCCATAGGTTCGCTGTAGACATTTTTACAATAAATATTGTACATGTACCCTAGTAAATAAGTAAATATGTAATTCACATTACTATCAAATCACAAAATTTCAAATTAATTACTAGAAAAATGATCAAACAAAATGTATGGTTATTGAAGAGTACAAAATTTAATGTCCAAAAAAAAAATCATGTCACAATCACAGCAACTTTTTAACTTCCAATACCACATTAAAGATATCAACCTATTACAAGTGCATGACATAAATTCATAAATTTCTTACGAATAGACATCAAATCAAAAATCTTCATGCTTACTTTCTACATGTATCATGTAAGTAAAAGTTACACCTTAAACACGGTAGCAGCGAACACCTTATAGACATGTAATTGTTAACAAGTGTGCACGTAAAAATCTCTTATGAAACAATATACAAATAAGTTTCATGTTTAACTTACCAACTTGGAAGCTTTCTGTCATGGAAAAAACAAAGACAAACATGATAATCAACACAGTGACTTTTAAAGCAATATGAATAGTAAACAAATTCTACAATTGTAAAGTACATGTAGGTATTTCATCTAAAAAACAGAAGTTTCTGTCGAGACTGAAGCTCTACAAGTTTTTATTTACAACAAAGGAAGAGAAAAGTAGCAGTTGGGGAATGAAACTTTACAGCAGCAATGAAAATAATAATGATCCTTGATTAAGTCTCTTTATGTTCTTAGTGTAGTCTATAATTGCATGCCAGATTATATCATTATCAGACTAAAACTGTATTTGGTTGATTGATTGATTGAATACTGTTTTACGTCCCTCTCCAGAATATTTCACTGATATGGAGACGTCACCATTGCCGATGATGGGTTGCAAATTTAGGCCTATGCTCGGTACTTACGGCCTTTGAGCAGGGAGGGATCTTTATCATGCCACACCTGCTGTGCACGGGGTCTCGGTTTATACGGTCTCATCCGAAAGACTGCCCCATTTAGTCGCGTTTTACGACAAGCAAGGGGGTACTGACGACCTATTCTAACCCGGATCCCCACGGGACAACTGTATTTGGAATAGCATTTTGATAGTATTTTACAGAAATTTCTATCTTTAGTAAACAAGGCAATAATGTTCATCAAAACCGAAAAAAATGATGAATAGAATTGTGTATCTTAGTGTAGTCAACTTTTGTACAAAATTATATTGAAACAGAACAAAACTGTAGGAGTAGTATTTTGAAAGTATTTTGAAAACCGATAAAGAGAATCATGTGTCTTAGTGTAGTCTACTTGTGTGCCAAGTTATATTGAAATCAGACCAAATTTGTAGGAGGAGTAGCATTTTGAAACAATTTCACAGAAAATTCTGTTTAGTAACCATGACAACTTCGTTAATAAAAATCGAAAACCGATATACCTTATTGTGTATCTTAGTGTAGTCTACTTGCGTGCCAAGTTATACTGAAATAAGACTAAAACTGTCGGAGGATTAGTATTTAGAAAATATTTCACAGAAAATTCTACGTCAAGTAACCATGGCAACACCGTTCATCGAAATCAAAAACCGATATATAGAATTATGTATCTTAGTGTAGTCTACTTGTCGAACCAAAACTGTAGGAGAGTAGCATTTTGAAACAATTTCACAGAAATTTCTATTTCTAGTAACCACAGCAACACCATTCATCGAAATACTAAAAAAAAAACGATGAAAAGAATTATGTATCTTAGTGTAGTCTACTTGTGTGACAAGTTATATTGAAATCAGACCAAATCGGTTTCACTGAAATTTCTATTTTTTAGTAACAACGGCAACACCGTTCACTGAAATCAAAAACCGATACGCAGAATTGTGTATCTTATTGTTGTCTACGTCTACGCTAAGTTATATTGAAATCAGACCAAAATTGTAGGAGGAGTAGCATTTTGAAAAATTTCTTACAGACAGCTAGACGGACGGTCGCCGGACTCATTACTATCGCATAAGCTCTTCTGGTCTCTAACCGCATGCATTTTCTTCGTTTAAGGAGATGGACTTGGACCAAAAGCAGTCAAAGCTTCAGAAACTCATGGTCATCAGGTGTACATTTAAGCAGTTCACAAGCCTTTTAAAAATACTCACTTAGCTAACTCTCAGCTTCTCTCAATATTGTGTATTTTATAATATAAGCCATAAATCATGTGAATTTCATGCGATCTCGTGTCTTCTGATAAGTACTAGGTTCTCTTTTGATGCTGTTTCTAACTAAGGCACTTGCAAATGATTCAAATTCGAATGGTAAATAATTTTAACACAGGAAATACGCATGATTTTTAAATGGAAACTATACAAATATAATGAAACAAACACTGTTAGAGCACTATTTAAAGTAGATACGGGAACAAAATATGTTTTACTACATCTATTTGTTCATTAAATTGTTCTATAGTAAACATTAAAATGTGTAATCATAATGAATAAATAAATAAATAAATGATATTCGTAAAATATTAGTAAAAACAGCAATTTCCCTTAAGGGGCAAAAAAATATATATATAATAAAAAAATAATTAGAAAGATGAAGTCGCCAGTTTTAAATGTTTACTTCCGGTTTTCAACGTTTGCTTCCGGTAAGAAGGCAACTCGCCCTCAGCAGCTTGATGATATGACTTTTAGTGGTTTCCGGCGAGTGCGGAAGAAGAAAGTCTGTGTGTCAGAATGAAGAGTGTTTTCCTTGTATTTAACTTTATTTTTTGTTGAAATAAAATATTCATCGTCTTAATCTATCAAAAAAAGTACAGTATCTTTTGTGAAAACTAAAAATTGAAGATTCAACATGAGAAATGTGAAGGTTATCCTCACTGTCGAATTCATTTTTGGTAAGATTTTTCTTTACTATTTTATGAATTTAATGACTAATATCATATAATTTATTTATTTGTAATGTTGTATGCTTATTCAAGAATTCCATTTGATTTATGATAGATAAAATGTTACTTGATTCACCCATTCATTTATTTCATCCAAAGTGCTTATATGCCCCAATCAGATATCAAATAATGTTTAAACAAATTAGTTAAAAATACTTAAGGCTTGGGGGTTGTTTTGAAAAAAAAAAGATTATTTTCATGCGGTTTGACATCGCTATATGGTACATGTACAATGCGAATTAGAAATATCAGTTTAATAATTTTTTAACGTAGTGAGGACAAATCGAGAAGACAAAGGAAGTGCAATTTAAAACTTACATAAAAATAGACGTTTGTTTCATTTTTTATTTTGGAAATACTTTTTTGAAATTAGCAATGGATTAAAATTGCAGTGCTACCCTGAAATTTCCAAACATGTAACATAAATAGTATTCAAAAGGGTTTAAAACCTGTTATTATACTTTTATTATATTATTTATCTAGAATTGATATTGTGTTGCAATGGAAAAACCACAACATCTACAACCCTTTCAACCACAAGTATGCCGCCATCAAACAATCTAACATCGAATGCTTCAGTTCCATTTTCTACGACTGCTCAGAACTCGACAAACTCGACAGGAAGTACTACGATACTAACCCCGGTTTCCACAACAACTATTAGTCTTGCGTCAACAAATAATATTACATCGAACATGTCGAATTCTTCGACAACAGTTTCACCAATCAATCAAAACACAACCCTTTCATCACAAAACACAACACTGCTTTCATCTGTGTCCAGCACCAAGAATGGTTTGGTCAATTTAACAACCACAACCCAAATGACCGGTTTAGTGAGTATGGAAAACAGAACTAAGACAATCAGTGGTAATACCTCGGCAACAAGTAATACAACTACAACTAATCAAACATCTACTTTTTCATCGACTCAAGCTGTGAAATTTTACAATGAAAGCACCATCTCAACAACAAAGCAACTTGGCAATATGAGTAATGTGTCTTCAAGTCTCAAAACAACGACAACAATGAAAATGATGAACAGTTCGACAAAAACTCCAACCACAACCACTCGGGTCATTATTTCAACAACCTTAGCAAAAACAAGTCAAAGACCTAGTACAACCACTGTTCCTAAGGTCTTACCGTCCACTTCCATAAAAACTACACAAGCTATGATGACGTCATCAAAAATAACAACGACCAAATTGATGGCGGAATCAACACATGATCAAGTCAAGTTAGCCCCTGGAGAAAGCAAGGATCATGGCGATGTCTCCACAACAGGTATATTTCTCAGGTTAATGAGTACTAAGCAGGCTTACGTCAATTAGAGGGTCCATGTTTTTTTTTTCTTTTCTTTTTTTTTTCCACCATAAAAATTTTGTATTGAAATGTTTGTTTATGAGCTGGTTGCAGGATTGTTTAAGCAGTTTCAGTTTGGGGAAACCATTCCCAAATAAAATCCCTTGACAAATTAACCATAATATTGTTTAAATTTAATAAAGGGTGCACAAATATAGTCTATAGTAGGTATGCTATACTCTGAAAAACTAACTAGGAGGGGACAAGTCTAATCCCCCTTAACCCTTCCTTGTCCAGATCATACGACAATAGAATGGCCCCAAGTTACGATAAAGTTAAGTCAAATAAAGGTTAGTTTAATTCAGTGGTGTATTTGTAGAATTTGGAACTGAAAGAATTTGGAACACTCAAGCCCTAACCCCCCACCACCCCCCCACCCTCCCTATTTTAATAGGCATATGGTGAGAAATACCCTTCATTTTTCCTTCATTGTTGAAATTATTCACTTCTTCCATAAACATGGAAGAAGAAAGTAAATTCAGTTTCATTTTAACCCCAAGTATACGTTAAACTTTTACTACTTTTAGTACACACTGTATATTGAAGTCTGAATATGCTAAAAATCAATGTATTAGATTTTCTACAGCAGCTTTATGTGCCTCTTCGTAACGAAAGAAACTCTTGTGTAGCACGCCCTTTGACAATGGACACACAACAAAATAATACCCAGTCCTAACATCTGATGCTGTCAAGTAAACATGTACCTCATTAAATATATGTATTCAATATAAATAAGGGTATCCACGATATGCACATACAGAGATAATCATTTTGTCGAAATTCATTCATCTGTTTAACCAAAATGAAATCAAAATCTCCTTACATTTATATCGATGTAAATCAGCGATGATTGTGTTAAATAAAATCAACCAAAGTATAAAATTGTGATTTCTTTTAAAAAAATTTTTCTTTCCTTGAACGGTTGTGTTTAAAAAGGAAGGAAATTACTTAAATTGTTACTTTCTAAAGGAAACTACACTTAGTGCATGTATCGACACATCTAAAATGTGATCACTTTTCATATAAATTTTGACTTGTAAATATCAGAATCATTCATATTAGGATGTGTCCTTGAAATGAAATAGAGTATATTTAAATAGCAAATAGTATTTCAGCTAAAATGTATATTTTAAACAATTTCAAGTCAGATGAAACGTAAACCTCTAAAACATGAAAGGTTGGATTCGGCCATACATGAATGATCGACATCCCCCGCCAATTAGTCACACCCCGTTGTGCTTCCAATTATGATCAGTAAATAATGAAATATTTTTAGTTTGTATGTAATGACCCTTCACAGAGTATAAAAAACATAAGTTAGAATTTGACAAAATGATAGATTATATTTTGTGGACAATGCTTTGAAACCAACTATATAATTTACGAAACGATGCTTATAAATAAGTGTTTCTTCAACTTAATATTTTTTCATTTACTTACTTTGATTAAGAAATTTAAAAACAAACAAATTCACTACCTGTGTAATTGTTTAGCATTAATACAATCATAAATTGTTTTAATCTTTTTGGCCATTCTGTTCCTCATTTGTTGCTTATTATGTATGTTCAGTCTTTTGATCAAGTATATAAAATAATAGATAGTGTGCGACCCAGTTTCTGACCAAATTATGTTTTTTTTTATTTTAATTTTTCCTTCATTGGTATTTAAAAGGGAATATGCATTTTTTAAATGTGTCACATGATTAATTTTTCTTAACTTATGATTTGTTTACTTTTATTCTATTGTTGTAAAAGAAGCATTTAAGCAAATAATGTGATTGGTATTTCTAAGAGTCACATGATTGATTTGCCAGTAATCGTGTGATTTTGTTTATGTTGTAGTTGCAGTCTCTGTGGTTACTGTCGTCATCTTCATCTTGATTTCGGCTTTGATAATCATCTGCATCTTAAGAAAGTTTGTATATTTGTCTTTATCTATTTCTTATAATAAGATCAAATATATCTTTTTATTTTCTTTTCCCTTTAAACTATTCCGTGTATAAAATGAGAAAAAAAGTTATTTTTCTTGTACAAGAACACTACATATTTAAATGAATTTCTTTCTCAGGCACGCGGAAGAGTAAAATTGTGTTATTAAGCTTTTTTTGTCAATTACTTAATGCTTAAGAATACATGTTTAAGCTAAGTATATTTGTTGAATTCTGATTTCAAACTAGTTACTGATGGGTAAATGAGCAGTTCGTTCATAATGTTCTTTGTTTGTTCTGGCAATTTTTCGAGTTACAACTTTTGATGTAAAGCGATGTGTATTTTTTTTCTTTTGAAGACGCTCGAATTCCAGAGAAAATCCGAAAATAAACACAAACACCGGTTTCACACCGACGGTACATTCTCCAAGCAACATAAAACTGGATTTCGAAAATCTAAATGACGCATCCGCACCAGGGGAGTTTCTCATGGACAAATCTATGATTGACCTCGAATCTCCCACACCCGAAAACGAGGCTTTGCAGACCGTAGCTTTATTGGATCATGCAACGGATGAGTTTGGCTCAAGAGAAATAACCACTTTTCACACTAGCAAAAACGAGAAAGAGGATGAATTAAACGCATCTGGGAATCAAAATGTTGGGGATAAACAGGATTCTTCCGACGATGACTCATCGGAAGAAGAAGACGAGGAACCGGAAATGGGGGAGAAGAATAATGACAAGCGTCAAGTTAACCCTGAAGATAAAAGTTTACCGGAAGTAGGGAATGGTGAAAAGACAGTGAATAGCAATTCCGTGTCTGACGTTGCAGTGAAGGAAGATAGTTCGATGCCAATGACAAATTTTGTTTTGGAATCTGAAACTCCAAACGCTCTTCCTCAAGAATCTCAAAGAAAAAGTGTTAAAGTCTCTGAGCTTTGATAAAAATGATGTTAGATAAAAAACTAACGTGTGTACTTCTACATTGGGAAAGTGTAAAATGTACACGATTTCTCTAAAAGACCTTTACAATTGTGTAATTGTCTTTTTTAGATTTAAGAAACTCATGTCCTTTTGTATGCAATTTGTATTTTTTTTTTACCTGTCAAATATGAATTTAAATGACATGGATTTATAAAGTTGTGTGAGCGTGTGATTTTATTATTTCTTAATCCAGAAGCGCAATTTCTTTTTTTCTATTTTATTCTTCTTCCTCAAAAAAATGCATGTGTTTATATAGGACAAAAAAAATCAAGTTTTCTGTGATTGGATATTTTCTGTGCATATTTAGAGGACAGAAATCCCCCCCCCCCCAGGTTATGTGGTCGAAGCTTTATTTTTGGGAGGGGACGGGGGTGTTATAATATTGTTACAAAAAAGGAAACAAAACACAAAAAAACTGTATTTGAATATAATAAGACTTAATTCAGTTTTTTGGGGATTTGTTTTGCTTATATCTATGTCCAAATATCAAATACTGGTAATACAATGAATAGAAAAACGTAATACGTAATTTTTGAAATATAGAAAGGTTTAAAATTGGTTCAAACATGCATACAAACTCATTTCTTATGGACTTTCTCCTAGGTTCAAATTAACGTATACATTACCAGTTAAACATTTCAAGCTACGGTTTACCAGGAAGTTAACGTATATCTAGGACAATCAATACACTAATTTCATAAACTTCCTGCTTCTTATATAAAAGGGATGCTTAATTTACAATGTTTTATAAACGTGAATGAAAGTGTTTCTGTTAATTTGTTTGTGTTCTTTTTTTTGATTCATAATTTATCATTTTTAGAATTAATTAATTTTAATTCAATTTTAATTATTTTATATTTTCCTTTCATCAGCTTCCGCTTAAATCAAAGCCACATGCATTACGGGCATACAAAGAAAGAGGGCTTAAATAGGCTTTGCCTGCTGCCCCATCCCATTCATTTTATGTGAATAATAATATTTTGTATTTAAAAAAATACAAAGAAACATCACATTGATCCTTATGATTCATTTTCATTAAAAATGCACATGACGTGCCCGCGCCAGTAAAACGCTTAGATCATGATGATAAAAACAATGTAAATTTGATTTCCGGCTGTAAAGAAAGTGCAGGAGAGTGAGTGTTAGTAACGTACATGTTCAAACAATGATTTTATTTTATTATGTTGATGTCACATGTGTAATAATTTAGGGAAGAAAATAAACATGTACATTAACCGATGAGCTTGTCTTGTTGAAGACCTGTAAGTTTTGTTTAAAAGTTGATATTTTAATTTTTGAAAATGTGAGTCAATAAAACTATTTAAATATCAAGTAGTGGGTTTTCATATTTGCTAGGAATGTATTTAAAAAGAAAAGTAACAATGGGTATTTTTTACAACTTGACTTCCGTATGATATTGAAAAAAAATATACTAATAAGAAACTTCCTCTCAATACAGCATGATTTAAAAATACATATATAAGTGCTTTGCTACATGTATATGATGTTGCATTAATTTTTTTAACTTACTTCCTAGGAATGTTTTAGATTTTCATATATTTTAATACACATTTTCACATCTGGATTCCTTGTTGCTTACTATAATGTACTCATATCTGCCTGAATACTTTGACAAAAATAATCTAAAAGAAAAGCAGGCACGTGGCATTAGGAGGGGAAGGACATGTTTCCATTTTCAGACCTAACTTTTTACTATGGGAAATGTTCATTGAAAGTTAATTACCCCCCCCCCCCTCCACAAAACACACATTCTTGTTTGCAGTAGAGTCAAATACATGTAAGGGTAATGTAGTTTGTATGATTGAGTAAAAAATGATACTGAAGCTTCTGTCCCCGACGAAAAGGAGTTTGATTTCTTTTTTTTTTTTTTTTTGCCCCCCCCCCCCCCCTACATTAACAAATGCTATGCTTCCTCCATTAAGAAGTAATCATTATGTGGTCTTTTACTTTCTTTGTACATTTAAAAGATATGAAAGAAGGTCAAAATGCAAGTATAATTTATAACGAAAAAATCAACCGACTCCTAGACAACTAGCGAGGCTGTCACAAAACAAAACATAAAAATCTTTAATATATCAGAGGGATTGAGACGAAGTCGAACCAAACAAATTAACGTCAGTTGATAATTAGAAACGTCTGCAGTTAACGACAACATTCGCAGTCATTTTCACTAATCCTATCGCATGTCAAGTTTAACAATCTATAATCATATAATGGTCTCAATGAACATGAATGTCAAGAATTGTTTTAAATTTCGGTAAATTACAAGAAAATCATTTCAAAAATTTAAATGAATAGGTCAAAAAATTGCATTGATATTACAAACTAAGAATTAAACATTCGTGGGAATGAAAGGAAAAAACAAAAAATAAATTCATTTGGCATTAGAAATCAGATATTTAGATTGTTAAGGAAATCTAGGAAATGTAAGTAAAACATTTTCAGTTTTTTCTCAAGTTTTGAATCTGCATGTTATTATATATTTACAATTATTTATTTGTTAATTACGATAAATGTACTTTAATTTTACTTTTATTCCAAACTCCGTATTGTGACGACATTTACTAACTGTAGGTCAGAAAATAACTGTGTTGCGATAATAACTTACTGAAGAAAAAATGATTCGAAAATAATTTTTTGGAGCTTGATGAGATTTTTTTCCTTCGAATTTTGCGCATAAAAATATTTACATGTTGATATAAAGATGTTGAAAATCAAGCATATTTTTTTTCTCCATTCTTAAAAAAGCCTTAAAATTAGCGTGTTATACATCTTATTACCTATATTAATGAAATGTTTTATTCATAGCATTTTAATTTTTCTTATCCAGGAGGTAAAATTTGACAAATTTGTGATAACACACATTGAATTTTATTTAACTTTTGATAAATCATTACCCACAATTATTAATGGCTTGTATTTAACCTCAAAAAAAGTTTCTCCTCAATTCAGAAAATTATTCTGCAAAAGAAATGAGGAAAATTTTTGGTCTTGGAAAAAGTTACCGACAAATAAAAAAAATTAGAAAGGAATTTTGAATTTCAATCCAATTGCATTTTACTTACTTTAAAATGATTCACAAAATATCATTGCATACAACCTTGTGACTTCAAGAGTGCATTTTGCTATCAGATTACTAAAACACACACTTATTAATTAAAGTACATACATAAATAAACATATCAAAGAAGTTAACTAAAGTGAACATTTATAAATGATTATTTAGCAATTAGTAAAATATGAAGAAAGCTAAACCGAAATATTTCACATGATATAGCCCTCTTAAATTAACCGCATAAGCCGTTGACTATAATTTATTTTCGTAAATCTTTTATGCAATGTACATGTACATAGTTCATTTCTTTTTCTAAAACAGTATTACAAGAGATGAAAAGTGACAAAAACGACATTCTTTTAACAGAGTTGTCTTTCTTTCCTCAACAATTAAGTTGATCAAAAATACATGTATTAATATCGTATTAATTTCCTGACTTTTTTTATATTAAATAAAATGTAACTATGGAGATAGTTATGATATAAATTATATTATTTATAGAACTAACATATATTGGTTCATTATTTTACTCACGTGACTGACTCTGTGCCCTTTAATTATTACCGATCTCTTTTAAATAAGTTAAGAATTGCAAACGTCTGCAGCAAGGAGAGAAATGACATCAAGGACGATTTTAATACCGGTCATTTTCATTCTCATGGAACTTACTCCTCTTCTGTGTTACGGTAAGTATCTTTATATCTTCTATTTCTTTCTTTCTATCTCTCTGTCTTTCTGCCTGTCTGTCTTTCTTTCTTCCAAACTTCTCATCTGTTATGCATAATTAATTATTCAAATATAAGCAAACTTAATCTCCTTTAAACTATTTTTTTAATTATAAATGAAAAATATATATGAATTTCAGTCAATCTTGCCCTTAAGAAGAACACAGTTATGAGCTCTCAATTCGAGAAATCCAAAGATGTGAGTTCTAGAGCAGTGGACGGAAACAAGGGATTGCGCACGCCCGAATGTATCCTATCTGCTTCCGGTCAGCACCAAGCATGGTGGCAGGTTGATCTTGGAGCGGAACAAAGTCTGTCCTACATACGGATCAACTATCACAAGAGTTTGTTTACTTTTTTTTAGACACAAATAGCTAGGTTACTTAAAAAATGGCTCAAGATGAAAAAAAATGAAGTGAAAATAAATTATAATTTTGCAAGTTTACATGAGAAATGGCCATTAAAAAAACAAGCTTCATTGAATGTATATGCATTCAAGTAAACAAAAGAGTAATGTCAAATATAGAATTAGAATAAAAATACTTTTCTCAATACCTGTTCCTGGGTTGTTTGTCAGAACTGTCGGATATGGAAACAAGGGTTCGTCTAGTAGGCGGAAGATCAGAGGGCAGTGGAAGAATTGAGTTTGTACATCAAAACATCTGGGGAACGGTGTGTGACGATATGTTTCACGGAAAGGACGGAGCGGTAGCGTGTGTTATGGCGGGATACTTACCGTAAGTTTCTGATTATACATGTAGGCTGATCCAAGTTATGAGCGCCGCCATTTTTGATCACGTGACATGCAGCTATAACGTAGTCAGGGTTCTGTTCAACAGAGCGAGTGCTCTCAAATATTTCTTTTGGAGATAAAAGGCAATTGCGCTCGCGATCGTTCGCTCTGCTGAAAAGGTCTCAGGTGCTTTTAAAGTGTCAGAGTTGACGATATACATGTACATGTAGCGACAATCAATTTTAATACCTCGGAAGGCTTCAAATATGAATTTGATGTTTTGGGGGACTAAATTATATAGGCTGTGAATCTTAAGGGTTGTTTTAGTAAGGAGGGATGACCGCAAATATTTTGTCATTTTTAATACGCGTGTATTTTAATTGTAATTTTGTACTGAGTAAAATGAAATATTACCTGTAGATCTACAGTGTTGAGTCAAACTATTTTTTTTTTTTACAAACTATATTCATTGTATGCATATATTCCAGAAACCCTATGATTTAAAGTTTTATTTTATATTTCAGGGATGATGTTAAAGTGCGGGAGGAAGCATACTTTGGAGTTGGTAGAGGCCCGATATGGCTGGATGACCTAGAGTGCTCGGGTGAGGAGATTGACCTCACTAAGTGTAAAAACGCTTTCACGGAACCACCCAACTGTCGACACAACGAGGATGTCGGGGTTGAATGCTCAGGTAAGGTTTACGTGGAGTGTCCACCAAAATTATATCACAAGAAATTATTTTGATATATACACTTATTCAAATATTTACATTCAGTGTTATTATACCTCCGTTGAAAAGCCCGTCTGTCCGTCCGTCCTTCCGTCCGTCTGTTACGCTTTGGGGTACCCATCTCTTATCCGCAACTCCTCTCATACCACTGAATGAAATTTGATGAAACTTTCACAGAATCTTTATTACATATTGCCATTGTGCACCTACTATTTTACTTTTTGATCCGACACATATTTTGGGTTTCCAGGCCACAGCAAAACATGGACTTTGCAATTATAGCTATTTGGAGGCGGGGGGTATCATTTAGTGAGCTCATCGCTCACAGTACCTCTAGTTTTCTCATGAAGTCCATCAGAAATTCACGACGCTGAAATATCTATAACACACAAGAAACTAACATTGACGTCACCGCTCGAGCTCGTTAGAACACACAGTAGGAACTATATGTATTATCAATACTCTAGGAACACCACATGTACAATTAATGAAAAACTATAACCCTGATAACGCGCGGTATTCAATTTGTCGGCACGGCCAGGTGTGTTATAGGACTGACGACATCCCAAAGTATGAATTCAATGCTAAAATATATACATATTATTTTTCAACATATTTAGTTGGGAGTACCATGGCTGGATTTCAAATCTACGTATCCAGTAGTGAAGATTGGTGGAGCGGCCATAGATGTTTTCATCACACAGACCTAACAGCGCCCCCTAGTGTCATGAACGTCACATGCCCAAATCATGGTCGGTATGTGACGTTTTACAATGAACGGAACTCCTCGGAAGTTTACCCACTCACATACTCAAAATTTGCCTACGTTCAGCTTTGTGAACTAGAGGTATTTGGTGAGTAAAAACAAAGATTTATTTGCTATATTTATTTTCCTCGATGGGTTTAGTACAGTAAGACAAAATCACCAGATCTTGTGTTAATGAATATGTAGAATACATGTTTTATCCCTTTATATGCCGATGTTAAATGAAATATAAAATATATGATAATTAAAAAAGTATAATTTGCAAATTAATATAAAGTAATTATTGAGGGAAACAAAAAATATGGCAAACCCTAAAAAGTCTATAAGTAGCAGATAATTGGGAAAAAAAAAATAAAATCGCGGCACAGCAAATTTAGTTTTTGAAAGTTTAAATGAGATTTGCCGGGCAGCAAAGATAGAAATTTGAGTTTGAAATATTTATTTTTTAACTAATTTATTAACTATTGTAAATGTGTCTATTATTGACAGGGTGTCCTAGTGGTAGATATGCTACCGACTGCAAAAGAAAATGTCCTATAAACTGTGAATTTGATCGCTGTGATATTGAGAATGGCAACTGTTTTGCCTGTAAAAATGGTTATATCGGACAGCGATGTGAAACTGGTAAACTTTCTATAAGTCTTTTTAAAAAATAATATTTTTTACTCCTTGTCGACAATAGTGTATATCTCCCATTTTATTGTTTAAGATGCACAAAGTTAAAATGAATTTAAAATATTCTTTTTATTGGATTTGTTTTAACATTATTCATGTTTTAGAGTGTACAAAAGGAAAGTTCGGGAAGAATTGTAGTCTTTCATGTGGAAACTGTCTGTATGAAGAGCCGTGTAATTTTGTTGACGGCGCATGTGCAAAGGGATGTTCACAGGGCTGGAAAGGAGTTTACTGCAATGAAAGTATTTAAATTTTTGTTTTGATTGTCCGTCTCCCTTGAAAGCTTTCATGCAAATGCACATGCATCATATTGCGGTCTTGAAAAAAGGGATCATGGTAGCAGTGTATCACTATAACTTTCTATTATAGCTTGCAATCCGGGATTTTACGGGTTAAAATGCACAGAAACCTGTAGCATACATTGTACGGATCCAATGTCATGTGATCACGTAAACGGAAGCTGCGCAGAAAGCTGCAAGGACGGTTGGGAAGGGGACAAGTGTGACCAAAGTAAGATTTTGGGGGATGGTTGACAGATATATTTCAAAGTAGCAATAAAATTATTAATACAGTTGTAATCTAAATCGGGATGCATTTTATTTTATTATACTTTCATGTTGAATACTAAAATCTGATTGGTTTAGACGCAGTTAACAATCTGTTCTATTACCCTCAGCCTTAACAACACACGTGACAACGGGTAACACAACGACAATGCCACATGCATGGAAATTATGCGCGTACGGTTCACCGTAGAATTCTCAAAACGTCAGTTGCGCGTTTGAAATAACCGGAATAAACATGACGTCAATAAAAGCTTGCATCCGATGTAGCTTACTTGAAAACAACAAACGACAGACGAAACATGCTTGCGAGTGAAGAAACAAAACTTTAGATGATAAAGGACTCGTAGAGTATCAAATAAACAATAAATAGGTCAGTAACTCTTTTTCAAAGTAGTGGGGAGTTTGAAAGCTTTCTAAACGTGAACGAAAAGGCGATCGACGATTTTTATTGATGACAAAGTAAATCACGAAGACATTCAGTATAATAAAATAAATGGTGCCTGTTTTGGAGGGTAACAGTTGAAATTGACACCCCTCGGAAAAACCATTGTCAACCTCCGCTGACGCGTCGGTTGACAATGGTTTTCCTTGGGGTGTCAATTTCAACTGTTACCCTCCAAAACAGGCACCATTTATATAGTATACGTGGGCGCGTGGGTCGTAAATGTTCTCTTGCGCTGATGCTACAAATATCGCAAGGATTTTCGATAGGCATTTTTTTATGTTCAGAAATATGTTTTTTTTTTATTAATAGAATGTGAAGAAATGAAATATGGGAGCAAATGTCAGCACTCATGTGGTCATTGTGTTAATGGTGAGATCTGTAATCAAGTGACTGGTGTGTGTTCAAATGGATGTGCAACGGGATGGAAAGGGAATGTTTGTGATGAAGGTTTGTACTCATTTATACTTTTTTTTTTTTATAATAAATCAAACCTTGAATATTAGAAAGGCTGGGGCAACTCAAAAAAAAAAATTTAAAAAATTCACCAAAGAAGAATGGTGCTCCTTATTCTTCTTAACAAATTATACATCCGTAGTTCCACGAGAAATAATTAGTGTAGATAACATAATTTTAATTTTTCATAGAATGTGATCCTGGCTATTTCGGTTCGTTGTGTCAGGATACGTGTAGTGAGCACTGTATTAACCCCATGTCATGTGACCACGTAAACGGGTCTTGTGACGATGGATGTAAGGATGGGTGGATCGGGTCCAAATGCATCGAACGTAAGTCTCGTTCTTCTTTCACGTTTTTTAAGCAGTTAATGCTATTTCAGCATATCAAAAACGAATTTAAAAAATTGAGTGTATGTTTTTTAAAACAATGACATCGTATAAAATGATAATTATTCTTTTCATGTTATAAACTCACTCTACATGTTTGTTCCTTTACTCAATAGTTTTATAAATATGTAAATTATTCAAATGTATATTTTCAGTTTATTTGCAAACGGGTAAAAACTCTATCAATTTCGTTTGTTTTCTTGGAGTTATGGACTCATATTCATTAAATTTGAAATAGGCTACATGTACACATAAAAAGGATGTAATTAACATAGTGTCTCATATATACATACTATTTTCAATTTTTCATTTAAGAGAATATATTATACAGCCAGTGTTTCTCGTATTGACAGAATGTGAGAAGTATTTTTATGGAAAAGATTGTGAAAATCACTGTGGACATTGTTCTGAGGGCGAATTCTGCAATCACGTGACCGGAGAATGTCCCAATGGATGCGCATCCGGGTGGACTACGGATATTTGTGATCAAGGTAAATCAAAATTAGTGATCTGGTTAATCACTATTAAATCAGACAAAAATTTGCATTTTTCTGAAGTCTTAAATCCTTCAAAGTACATATAAAAGGGAATTAAAATGCTGATTATTGAAATGACGTTTAATTGCCTCTTAAACTGAAGCAGTAAATTGTATTAATATTGCAGAATGTGATCCTGGATATTATGGGCTGATGTGTAAGGATCAGTGCAGTCCACATTGTTTGGATTCTATGTCATGTGATCACGTGAGTGGGTCATGTGATGGAGGGTGTAAGGATGGCTGGATTGGAGCTAAGTGTCGGGATCGTGAGTATACAAAAAACAAACAAATTGTGAGTGGATATATTTCAGATCGTGAGTAGACATAATTTCGTCTTTCATTAAAGAAACAGAACACACGGCGAATGTGACCGGTGGAAAAGGATGCTTACTACCCCTTCGGGTCTTTATCCCAACTATGTTTTTGTAGAAGTCTTTATTTTGCTTTGCTCTTAAAAACATGGCGGGGGGAGGGGGGGGGGCAAGGCGGGCAGAATGCCTATAGAGTCAGAAAAAAAGGAATCATATTAATTCAAAATGTAAAATGAGTATTTCAATTAACTTCTCATTATGAAATTATGAGAAAAAAACTTTTTCTGAGAGAAAGGGGGTCAATGTACGTTTTTTGTTCATTTTCTCAACTTACGTATATTTTTCGCCAGTAAGCATATTCCTACGGAAGGAAGCATTGTCTAAGGAGTATACGTACCTGTGAATCCACTGGACACCTTCTAGTTTTATCAAACACCTCAACACAATTCCGAGGATCGAAGCAAAGTTGACGCTACACTGTGTTTTTGATCAAATATCAGAACAAAGCTTTGCTTTATCGTCACTTTTATCAGTATTATTGTTAAATATATGTTTACAAAACGCGTTTGCATATAATTGAGATTTAATTTTTCACTTTTTATCTGTCGTACTATAGGCACTTCGTCCGTCTTATCCCCCTTCTTCTTAGTATTACTTCATAAGACTTTTGAGATTGATAACTGTACATTATCTCCATATTTATTATTGAAAATTGGGAATTTGTTCTATTGTGAGTATATACATGTAGGCAATAAATATTTAAATAAGGTAATACACAATTGTTTAATATATTCGTCTTGTAAATAAATACTGAGTATATCTGATCGCAATAGACATGGCAAATATTACACTTCAGAATAAACTCCCATGTTAAAATCACTGGGATTTCACATACTCATTATTATTAACTACAGAATGTGAAGAGTTGACATTCGGCAGTAATTGTCAGCTGACGTGCGGCCATTGTTTCAATGGTGAAGTCTGCAGTCACGTGAATGGTACGTGTTCCGGAGGTTGCGCTCCGGGATGGACTGGCAATATTTGTGACCAAAGTAAGCATCGAAATAAAACTCTTAAAATCAAATATACAAAAGAAAGAGAGAGAAAGAGAGAAACGTTGTGAAACATATCTTAAGTTTCTGGTTGAATTGATATATAAGTTTAAGTGATTGTTAATAAACATGTATGTAAGATGATTTTCATAGAATGCGACAGCGGATACTTTGGACTAATGTGTAAGGATGGATGTAGTGAAAATTGTATGGATCCCATGTCATGTGACCACGTGAATGGATCGTGTGTTGGAAGCTGCAAAGATGGTTGGATGGGTTCTAAGTGTAGAACTGGTAAAATTATCCTTTTTTCACTTACGTCAGTACCATTTAAATGAAATAAAATATATAGTCATTTCACTACGAGTTAAAAAATACAGAAGGCATAAACGCAGTATAAAATCCATGAATCGAATTTCTATTCAAAATTCTTAGTTTTAGTTGATTTTAGTTTTTAGTAAAGTAAAACATGCAAAATTTGAACCAAACAGCACAGTCTATTGGGATATTGAGCTATTGATCGATGCATGGAACTAAAACTGTCAAACGAAATCTACTTAATAAGTTTACATACATGTATACCCATGTCTATAAATTGTTTACATTACCTGATAATTCCTACAAAGACTTGATTATAAAAAATGTGTCATTCGAAAGTATGTCCGGAAGGGATGTTTGGAGAAGCATGTAAATTTACCTGTGGACACTGTTTTAATAACGAGATATGCAGCCATCTTAACGGAAGTTGTTCTAGCGGATGTGCATCAGGATGGACTGGAACTGTTTGTGATAAAAGTAGGTACATGTAATTTATACATCCTTTTGCCACTATACAAAATGAACATTAGATCTAAATCAGCTCTTTCCAAGTATTCAATTTTGTGTGCGAAATTTTTTATGATTTTTTCATACAAAAAAGGTGGAAGATAATGTTTTTGTATGGAAGCAAAATTGTCTGTAAAATGTTAATTAGTTATAGCGACGGAGTCCTTTTCAAGCAAGATATTATCATTAGTTATTTACATTCATTTATTTTCAGAATGTGAGTCAGGACTTTTCGGAATAATGTGCAAGGACACTTGCAGTCCGAATTGTCTCGATCCTTTGTCATGTGATCACGTGACCGGAAAATGCGAAGGAGGCTGCGTCAATGGTTGGATCGGAGACAAATGTACACAAAGTAAGATGGTGTATTTTTAACCCTACAGATTCATAAAATACTTATATGGATCTTATAAAACATGTAATATTTTGGCAATAATATGCTCGTTATTTATGACTTGATTGTTCTGAATGACTTTGCTTACAATTTATTCTTTTAGAATGTGAAGAAGGAACGTTCGGAGAGAATTGTGAAGAGTTATGCGGGATGTGTTCGAATGGTGACGTCTGCAGTCCTGTAAATGGATCTTGTCCAAAAGGCTGTTCAGCAGGATGGAAGGGCAAAGACTGTCGGGAAGGTGTTTCTCTTCATAACACTTTTTCAAAAACTCCAGTGAAATAGATTTAAAAAAAAAACGTCATCATTATTTTCATTTTGAAAAAAATGTCAAATACAAATTTGTAATCCAATTACTACATGGATAGAGTAGATGTATTATGAGACACAATAGAGAGGTATTGTGTTTTTTGCTTTCAATTCTCTTTTTTTTTGAAAATGATATTAAATTAATTTTGTTATATTACAGCTTGTGAGCCTGGATCTTATGGGGTTATGTGTAAGGACAAATGTAGTCCGCATTGCCTCGATCCTACAAACTGTGACAGTAAATCTGGGGAATGTTATCTTGGTTGTTTGGATGGATGGGTCGGTGACCGCTGTCAACACAGTAAGTCTTAAGTTATTTTTTTCAGACAGAAAATAGAAAATTAGAATGTACAACCTCATTCATCTATTGAAACTCTCCTTTCTTAATTTCCATGTAAATGATCCCATGGAAAACATGACCTCTTACTGCATGGTTCAGTCACTTCTTCATTTCGCTTCAGAAACATCATATATTTTAGTAAATTATAACGAACATATTCTTTTTTCTTTCAAGTATCAAAATCAGATGGCAGGCTACAAAAAGGCTTTCTATTTGATATTCTTCAGTATTGTTGATATATGTAGCAGATAAATGCAAAACTCAAGCAAATAGAATAAATGCAGTAGTGGCTTAACGAAATAGGTAATCAAACACAAACAATTTTGTCCTTTTGTTTAAATTTACTTTAAAGCTTGTGAAGGAGGTTGGTATGGATCGCAGTGCAAACACAAATGTGGTCACTGCTATAATGAAGAACTGTGCGACAAGGTACATGGTGCATGCGCAAACGGATGTGCATCAGGCTGGGTAGGACAAAATTGCAACAATTGTAAGATATGTTCTTATATGTTTGTTATGAAATTAAACAAACTGATACATGTAGTTGTAATGAAATAATACGTGTAAAATATCATCTCATATTTCTGACTTCAAGTACTTTTCCATTTATTTTTAAGCTTGTACAAAAGGATCATACGGCATTATGTGTAAAGACACGTGTAGTGCCCATTGCGTCGACTCCTCTGATTGTGATCACGTGACAGGATCATGCGCGGGAGGATGCGTTGCTGGTTGGATGGGGTCAAGATGCAATCAGAGTATGAATTTCTCATTAAAAATAGTTGTTAGATACCGGGTTTGTAAGCAATGCAGTTTTTACTATAAAATGTTTTGTAATGATTAAAGATTACAACCATTCTATGTGTGTGTTTATCAGCAGTAAAAACTTGTACCTTCAAATAAGATGAAATTGGAAAATATTTTACCTACGTATTGATTTTATTTATTTAGATCTGGCCTGGGGGCCATAAAACTTACACAAGCTCACTTTTGATCTCAGTCTGACTTTTACCAAAAGGAATATACATGTACAGTGGAAAAAGGAGACTGAGATCAAAGGTGAGCTCGTCTATTGGAGTCTAACTTTTATGGCCCCCGGCCTGAAAACAATTGTATTATAAAAATGCTTTCTCATGTACTCTATACGATGTGATAAGCATGTTTCAGAATGCACTGAAAAGTCTTTCGGTGAGGAGTGTGGCAAGGTTTGTGGCCATTGTTTTGACAACGCCCCCTGTAATCACATCACAGGGGCATGCCCAGGGGACTGTAAAGATGGATGGCTGGGTCAGTTTTGTAACGAATGTAAGTGCACTACACCCACTTATTTGGCTAAAGTGAAGTTTTTCAGCCTTCCTGTGCTGTATTTATGGTGAACCCTTCTTTGGAATAGGTTTTGTAAAAACAAATATCCCTAAAAAGGTTTCTTTCATAGTGAGCCGTTTTAACTAGCTAATTTTTCACATAGCATGTCCTGAGGGAAAGTTCGGAGAAAAGTGTCAACAACAATGTGGTCATTGCGTCAATGGAAACATTTGTGAATTTACCAGCGGAAGTTGCTCAGATGGATGCGCAGATGGTTGGGTAGGAAGTAGGTGCAACATAGGTACAGGGCAATTTGTGAACTTTGATATTGATTTCTTGATTTATACGTATAGTAACACTATTAAATGATCATAATTCCTATTTTGTCATTTCAATTCATTATACGGATAGAAATGTGAAGTTTTATAATACCAGACGATAGCTAAATGGATTGGGTGTTTTTTTCCTTATTTGGTGTTTACCTTTTTACATTTTCAAATCCAGAAAGAAATAATGATATCAATATTTCAGTAACCTTAAAGCTAATCAAGTTTATATTGTCTCTCGGTATTATATAAATTTCAGTGTGTAGTTTTGGTTATTACGGTAAACATTGTATGCAGCAGTGCAACATAAACTGTAAAAATACGAAAGATTGCAACCGTATCAATGGATTCTGCTCAAATGGCTGTGCTGATGGTTGGTTAGGAAAGTTTTGTGATCAGAGTGAGTAGATTTAATTCAATCATTTTTCTGTCAACAGATAAACTAATGTAAGTTTATATTAATAAATAGTATGTCAATTCATAGTTTTGCAAATATGTCAGAATGTACTATTATGTACAAAGTTTATATTTCATTTTTTTTTTGTGGGGGGGGGAGGGGGTTTGGGGGTGGGTGGTTAATTTGTGTGATACTAATTGATTTTAAAGTTTTAAGCTTGTTGCTGTTCATCTTTAGAGATGATGGTTGTCATAATATGCCTTTTTTTATTCTTTTACATACATACACAGTGTTTAAAAGGAATTCCGTTAAGATCCAAGCACTGAAATTGCGATTTAGTGTAATTTTATTTCATACATATTTTATGTACATTTCAGAGTGCCCAGACGGAGTTTTTGGCCCAGATTGTTCCTTTAATTGTGGGCACTGTCTGGGGCAAGATATTTGTTCCCATGTAAACGGGTCATGTTTCTCAGGGTGTGCAAGGGGTTGGCATGGAAGATACTGCAACGAAAGTAAGGACCTAGAATGAATTTCCTGTTTTTATTTACCTGTTAAAATTTGCTGACTTGTAAAGAGGATGAAGTGAATAAAGGGTGGAGGAGAAAACAATATAAAAATGGCTAAAAAAAGGCTTTACCTACTGCCCAATTTCATTCACTTTTATTTCTGCACAAAAGTTTATGATAATAAAAATATCAATTACAAAAATGAACAGAATATAAAACTTTTTAACATTCTCAATGTATTGCAATTTCGTTTATTTCAAAAGGTTGCGAAAATGGTTACTTTGGAGACATGTGTACACAGAAATGTAGTGAACATTGCATAGGGTCTGGTCAATGCGATAGAATTACCGGGTTTTGTGCCAATGGGTGTATGGCTGGGTGGATCGGGAACTTCTGTGAATTAGGTGATCATCTCTTTTTTGATTTTATGGGGTGACTAAAACAAGAAATGAAAGGACACCTCATATGTTCCGTATTTTTGAGATGGTAACTAAAATTAGGTCATGCTTTCATAAGTGGCAAATCTGTGCAGGATTTATATAAAAAAAATTATTTTGAGAATCAGCAAAGACCTGAAGTTAATTTTAATCTCATACAAAGAAATATACCTGATTAAAAAAGCAAATACAAAAATCTGTATGACATATATTTTATTTAAGATTGTCAAAGAATAGTGAACAAATTAATAATTTATTTTAGAATGTCCCATTGGTACGTTTGGTGAGCATTGTATGGGAAACTGTAGTGAGCACTGTCTTAACGTTACCGACTGTAATCATGTGAACGGGTCATGTGACGGAGCATGCGTATCAGGATGGACCGGGAAGCATTGTCAGATAGGTACTAATATGCCTTTTATTATTAAAGACCTTAAACCATCATTTGGAGGTTATTTATCTCAGTTGATTCAATACGAAGGACTTTGATACACCTATGAACAGTTTTAAAAACGAGGTAAATTATTGACGAAGAAATTGATGTAATAATATCAGCAGTCTCGTTTAAAGTCACCATTTCATAAGTTCTATGGTCGATACGATGACCTTGTCAGCAAATACATTCATCAATGAGCCAAATACTGACCGACGTTTTCCGCACTTATTGTTAGTCCATTAATTATACACTGAATCGTCGACAGATACAATTTTATTTCCCGATCTTGACAAAGAGCATATACGGCGGGTGTGACCGGTCGTCAGGGGATGCTCACTCTTCCATCGCAACTGATCCAACCTCTGATGTTTTAGAGATATGTGTTTGCTCTGCTTCTACTATGTATTGTTTAATGGACTTTCTATCTTGAATACTGTTCGTCATCCCCATATGTTTCATTGGCAAGTTCAGTTGTGTGCAATTGATTTTCATGTGCCCTACATGTTTTTATCATTGATTCCTTTTTGATAACATGACAAGTTACTTGTTTAATACATTTTGAGAATCAGAAATTACATGTAGAATTAGAAATTAAAATACATTACAACTATATGAAAAGGCACTAAAATATGCGTGTACTACAACATTGTGATTGGCCAGATATAACCCTTGTTTTACGTCCTTTAAAATTAACACAGGTGCGGCATCATACCTGGTAATACTTGACCTTTCGACCCACATGTATTTTGGCAATTAGACCATAGATCTTATAAAAATTAAAGTACTGAAAGTACTCATGGGAGTTGAACATTGTTATCTGAAAGATCTCACAGGAAGTATAGGAACATCTTCATGCATGCAGATTCAAGTCAGCTAGAACTGATTTGTTAGAGATACAAAACGAAACATTAAAAATGATTTCTATTGCATTTAAATAGCCAAGATCATGGGACTGCTCTTAAATAAGCTGCAGAATTGTAGCTCTCCGAAAAAAAAAAATTGACAGACCGGAGAGCTACAGTGCCATCCATTGAAAACACTGTATATTTATTGCACACGAACAGTTAAGTTTAGTTCTGGATTAATTCTTTCTAATTCTTACCTCAATAATTTGACCAAACCAAACAAACAACCCCCACCACCCCAAAAAAAAAAATAATTTTTTCAAACTCGAAAATACTATTTTGTTGTTAGGGTTTAAACTTCTTTCAGTACCATTTATTACTAAAACTCAAACACTACCCTTATATTTCTGAAACATTTGAATCAAAACGCCCCCTACTCTCTTGAGAATGTGTACAAGATATTTGGTCCCAAGAAACAAACAAACAAACACTCTTTATATTCGATGTTACCATCACCAGACACTAGATTGTCATTTTCTTCCTCTGATTAAAACAAGTATTTGCTATTCTCTTTTGGGTGTGAATGTTCTTTTCGGACACAATAATTAATTTTTATAGAACTCCATGCTTATCTATTTTATCAAATGTATCTATCTTTATAACTTAGTCATTAAGTTTTGTTATTCCATAATTTTAAATTTCATTTCAAGTAATATCTATATAGAAGTAAGTATGTCTGAATACTTTCCATTTTGTTTGTTTTACGTTCGATAACTTTTCAATCATATTGAAACAATACCACTTGCCGATGGAGCTACCTACATGTAAGTCTACCATTTTTACCTATACACGGCTCTCAAAACCATTGATAAGTGAGGGATCGTTTTGTGCAAGCACATACTGCGACATGGGATTTCGGTTTATATGGTCTCATCAAAAAAGTTTATCTCCAAATGCATCCCACATGATTCTAACCTGCGACGTAAGGATCAATTAACACTTTACGTTGAATCTCTAGAGCAAACTATTTTAACAACTGCGCCACACGAGTGAGACTTAAAGTTTGTGATTTTGATTTGATTCAAATGTAATTAAAAATCAGATATAGTTTAATGAGCTACTACAAGAAAATAGTTGTAATCATGAGGAACGATCTTGCTCACGTGCATAGATCGATCATTGGGGTTATTATACCATTGTGTCCGTGCATACGCATGTATTCATTAATCTTAACTGTTTTAATTATATTATAAAATCAAGTGATACATTTTATAAGGTAATACTGCAATACAAGTACACACACATTTTTCAAGTTCAGATTTGCTGTTGTACACGTGACCAACTGAATGCTGATAAATTTATGAAATTAAGGATGCAAAATTAATGTCATTTGAAATTGTGTGATCGAATATTAACAACCTTTAATGCTTTTATTTTTTCCCTTTACCAACGTAAAAAAAATGAGTTGCATGTATCTGGTCTGACAAAAATTTTCCAGTCTAACAGATCATTTTACTTGTCAGAGCAAATAAATATTTTCCGCAGTGTTTTTTTTTAAAGAAACGTTTTTCTGTCTCTTTATTGCTGAAACATATTGAAAGAAGTTAAGTTAAACCTTAGCGTTCCTTTCCTTACATCTTTGTTTACGTCTCTATATTTAGACAATCGCGTCTTGTCAAACCAGTTAGACCAGTTGTTGCTCCTTGGATGACCTAGCACATTTTGTAATGGAGCGTAGTGGAGTCAGCCGAGGATTGCCGAATGATAAATGACGGAAAACTGGGACTTTTTTTTCATACGGAAATCAAAATGTATGTGTCATTTCTCAAAAAAGATGACAAAAATATGCTATTCAAATTAAGTTAAATAAAATTCCATTTCATTTACTTTCAAATCATTTATAAAAATTAGATTAATTCAGAAAAATGAGATGGACTATTTTTATTGCGGAAGTTTCTTCGAGTTTATATAGACTGGTACGAGTTTGTATTAAATATCACAGGGAAGTAAATTGGGCGAGACAGAAACACCACGACGGCCGCTATATAATTCATTGTAAAATTACTGAGCTAGAAATCGCGTGACAGCCTAGGGAGTCTGTTCAACTCCCAAAAACTATGCTGTTACTTTTAAGCGAGACTAAACTCTACATGTAGCAATATGGATGACTAATGGGGCAAAAACTGTTTTTAATGTGCACAAACAATTTCACTTGATAACATCATTAGACATCAGATACTGTAAACCAACTTTTATTCGCGACGACTTTATTTCGCGATTTACCAGGAGTAAAGTAGTTTGCAACGATTAATTTTCCAAGCCTTTTTGGAACTCTTCTTTTAAATAGAAAAAGAGACGGTAAGGACCCATTCGCGGCGAGAAATATTTGCGATGAGGAGGCTCTCGCGAACCTCGCGAAAATTTCTCGCACGCGAATAAAAGTTGGTTTACAGTATTGTATTTCATTTCAGAAGTCAATGAGATAAATGGACTACCTGCTGATATGCTACTTGGAATCGTATTTGGAGTGACTGCTTTATTCATTATCATTGACATCATTATTGTTGTTGTGGTTTTAAGGTGAATTTGGTGTTACAGATTCACAATATTTAACTTTTTTTCTGTAAGGATAACTTCTAACATTGCTTATGAAAGTACAAAATTATATTATAATGAAAAATTGAATTCGCTGTTCTCATAAAAAAATTCAAAGGAGGATTACAAATTTTAAATGAAATTTGAATCCTAGGTTCACGGGAAGGTCTAAGGTCGGAGGCTCCTCATTCCCCCGTCGCCTTAGTATTCTAAGTGTGAATTACTACGCCGATGTTAACAGTGGGAATCATGCAGCTGATAGACAAAATACAGGTATTCACGTATAAGTAGAGTCACATCAATTTTTAAGTAACATTCAAAGAATTAAGCAACTCGCTGTATAGACATCTCTTTTTATAGCAATTTTAAAAAGTATGTGTATATCATATTGAAGCTATCACTTGCAGATGCCAAAACAGGTTAACTGTTTAGAGAATAAAAAAAACCTGAGATATATTATGAATTTAATTTAGATGGCGGGCATGTATTGACTACTTGTGGTCGATCGTTCATCCAAGATAACACAGGGTAAGAAACTCTTAATTCTATCGCAATCAGATAGTCGACAGGGGATGCTCACCCCTCCAGGGCACCTGATCCCACCTCTGATGTTTTGGAGGTCCGTCTTTGCTCTGCTTCTAATTTGTATTGTTTTATGGTCATTTAATTTTGAATACTGTTTGTTATCTGTATATATAATATCGTGATTTTATTTTCAATTACCTCTGTTTTACGTCTGTGAAATATTTCAGCAAAAACAATCAAATATTTTTAACTAATGCAAGAGGAAAGATATAAAAGATGGAATTTTTTTGCTATTTTTTTTTATTAGGGCATTTACGAATATCGTTAATAAGTTATTTTTTATTCAATATACACTAATCATTATTTATTCTATAATTTTCTTCCTATATGAAACATTTCAAGGGATTATATTTATCAATTTAAATGTTTTTAATAACAGTAGACAAAGTTTTATATGAAGATAATTTTATTAGTAATATATATTCTGTTTTACTTTTATGATTTCAGTTTACACCACGAACAGATGAATTATGTTTCAAAAGAAAACCATTGTATCAGTTCTTGGGAATAGCTTTAAGGATTAGTTTGAAATAAATGTTGTATTATGAGTGATCTAAGTAATATTTAACTTTGTTTGAGAAAATAAACTTTTTGAATTAAAAAGAAATGATAAAATAAAAGACATTGTTAATACAGATATTACAATTTTTAAATTCCATGTCAAAAATTACTATTTAATATTTATGAAATAAAAAGAAAACAAGAGAAAAAAGGTTTTGCATAATTTCGGAACAATTATTTGTTTTAAACGTCGTCATCACAGCAAAACCGCTCTTTTATTAATTGGACATTGCATATACATGCCTATCATAATACATGCTGTTCTTAATAAATGTTTTATGGCATATCAATGTTCAGGCAAAGAGGTGTTTTAATCATCTTCACATGGATTTACGAATATTACTACAAAGAAAGAAGTTTCAAAACGGTAAAACCGTGTTTTCTTTATCGAACGTATCTAAAAACGATACATAGCCTAAATACCTTAATGCATTATTCTTTCTATGGTGTAATTTAGATATGATTGTGATATTCAAATGAGCTATTTAACGTGTGGCCGGGAGCAAAGGAATGTGATCTTCGCATAGATAAAACGCTTAAAATTGAAAGTCATTTAAGGATAAATATGAATTTCCGGAATGCAAGTATTTTAAAAATTATTCCGACTCAATTAAGTCTTAACGGAAACGATGCTATTATGCTCAACTCTTTTTGGACTCCACCTTGAAATGTTTACTGATATTATCGACCTTTCAGATTTACAATTTTTTGGGCCACAGACGTAGAATCTTATGTGGATTTTTGATAAATAAAATAATGTTGATTTATGAAAACCTTTAAGAAATTACAATTGCATTTCGAAAAAAAAAAAATATGAGGCATTTAACAAATTTTATTATTTCTTTGATTTCGCTCCTTGGGAATAATTATGGATATGGTAAGTACATTTTATTTATATATATCAGAATTCTATGCACTGCAGATAAGTATGTATTTTATTTAGAAATAATCATCCATGTTAAATGTCTATGTATATTTGCTAAAAAGGCGTCATTCTAATATGCGAAAATCTACATGGGTAAAAAATAGCAATTTAAAAATAGAAATTGATGTAATTTCATTTGAAAACTCGTCTTTAATTTCCGTATCAAGTGACTTTTTGTCTAATTACAATCGCTTTTCAGTGTCATTAAAAATCTAATCATTTTAAAACTGATGTTTTGCAAAAAATAATATATTCGAAAATATTAATCATCTAATTAAAAAAAAAGTAATACATGGCTAATCAGAAATATTTTATTAAAAAAGAAGTATATTTTAACTTAAAGGTTATATCACAGGTCTAGATGTTAATCATTAAATTGTTTGCCTTCAAGAAGATTCTAAATAATTTCTTCTATAATTTAAGATAGTGTGATGTGGAATCTTCAAAAATAATTATTGTCATACATGTGAACTCCCGAATTCGTATGCAGTTTGACTTGTTTAATTCAAACATCTATAATAATTCTAGAGCAGAACTTAGCCTTGGAAAAGCATGCTATCATGAGCTCACGTGCACACTTTTGGAGTAAGCCGGAACTAGCAAACGATGGTGACGTCAGCCAGGATGAAGTGAAGTGTACACAGACTTTGACGAATGCAACTCAAGCGTGGTGGCAGGTGGATCTATCGGGGGCGAGCATCTTGTATATACACATCACATATGCAAAAAATAGTGAGTGTTATAGCATAAAGGATTTCAACGTAATTTGGAGGAAACCTAATCTCTGTGTTAAAAAAAGTAAAGCATTCAAAAGAAAAACTGAAAATGCAGCTCTTTAAAGGAGAATTGCAAATCAATGCTGTTTTTTTTTTTCAAATGTAAATTTGATGAAAACTAATTGATAAAAAGTCCCTCAAGCAAATTCACACGAAGTTTCTGAAAAGTAATTTATATTACTAAATGAAATGGCAGTATCTTTCTTGCTTTTTGAGAAAAGGTACTTGAATACCTGTAAGGACGTTTAAAGAAAGTGTGACATTGAAGACATTGAAAGGAAATACATCTTAATGAAGCCATGCACTTTGCGTCATTAAAAGTGAATAGTTGCATAGCTTCAATAATGGCACATCATGGATTTTTCTCTTTAGGTGCTGACACAATGGCAGGGTTTTCTTTATATATTTCTGATGACGACATTAATTTCCGTAACGGACACCTTTGTTACAATCACAGCGACTCTACACTTCCGGAACTGTATATGGAGATAAATTGCAAAGTTCACGGAAGATTCCTCACGTTCTATAATGAGCGACTTCCGGATGTTAAATACCCGGATGGTTATTCTGCAACTGCGGTGATTCAACTGTGTGAAATCACCGTTACAGGTAGGCTTTATAGTTGCGTATTAAAGGAAAAAAGGCTTTGGCTTTTATGTCCCCGCCATGATATGATCAAGGCATAACAATGACATCAAAAGGTTTTGATTTTTTTTCTTATGTTTTTTTTTTATTTTAGTTTGATTTTCACTTTGTGGCTTTATGATGCTATATCCCTTTTGCCAGATTTGTAGGACCGTTTTTTTTTCTTCTCCCGATTTGCATTATTTAAATGGACTTTGTGCAAGGATGCTGTTCGTTATCGCCATATTTCTTTGTACATAAAGAACATTTCATATGTGTCTTTATACTGATAAATTAAATAAAAGATGTCATTACGGTGTATATGGCTTGTTTTTTTTAACTCTTACCTTACTGTGAATAATGACATAAATTCAATGCAACTATAGTACTAACAAACAAGGACTAGGCCTTTCAACTGCCGCTAGGGGTCGGTGTTATGAACGATAACTCACTGCTGAAACTTGTTTAGAGCAGGCTCGGGGTATCTAACTGTTTACACGCAAGGCAGTTTTTAGCATTTCCCAAGTGTTTCTTTGCTCTCAGTAGAATCCAGTGATTTTAAAATTTAGCACCAATGTTAAACTTATTTACTGTATAGTTGCGGACACCGGTTTACTGCATATAATTAAAATTTTTAATTAAAATAAAAAGTGTAATCTACCCTCCTTCTCAGTTCTAACCTATTTAAATTTGTATACTCGGTCGTTCCCCTTCGTGCTTAGTAACACAAATAAGATGATCAATTGTTGCATTTACTTGTAAAAATATATATATTTACATAGGAAGCGAAAAAGCGCGAACACAAAAAACATGACATTAAATTTTCTTCTTCATAATAATCGTCAAAGAGAGTTAATACTATTGAATATCGTCTGTTTCCCATTCATTTGACCCTGTTATTTCAGGTAGAGTGAAGGCATTCTCTTTCTCTTGGTCAAACATTTTTGTGTACAAAACAAAGTAAGGAACCCTTTTGTGTATATAACAATACCAATGCTGAAGCAGCCTATATGTCATTCTTATAAACGATAACTCATAAATCGGCACTAAGTTGGTCATTTTTCACACCTGAGTTACCTGTCCTTAAACACAACATCGGAAAAGTCAATTATAAATGATTAAACTTTTAAATGAGGTAATTAAAAGTATGCATAAGTTATTATCTTTTTTGATAATTTTATGTACCTATAAATCTATCTATACAATGTTTTTTACGATATGTGCAACTTGAAAAATTAGTTGAAAGGCCTACAAGGACAGTTAGAACTCAATAAATGTAATACTTTACCTTGTCTTATTTTCCCTTTGCAAATGTTTCAAATACTCTAACTTTTAATATTATTAGTAAATTATATATATTTTTAAATATTATCTCAATAGAAGATCTTTATTTGGTCTTATAACTTACGACTATCTCTCGAACTTTGTATGTTTCGTTATATCAACCACTTGCTTACAAATATATGTTGATAGAATAATTTATATTTCCAGGTTGTGAAAGGGGAAAGGGAGGCTTTACGTGCACCCCTTGTTCTCAAAAATGTCGCGAAGGCATCTGTCATATAATGACAGCAAAATGTTTGGAGTGCTATGACGGTTACTATGGAATGGACTGTGATAAAGGTACAGTACCCGCATCGTTATTCTTTACAATTCTATCGTGTTCTATCGTGCGTGTATCCTATCGTATCGTGCGTGTATCCTATCGTATCCTATCGTATCGTGTTTTCCGTTTATCGTGTTTTGCGTTTTCTATCGTGTTTTCCGTTTATCGTGTTTTGCGTTTATCGTGTAGATCGTTTATCAGGTTCTATCGTGTATCGTGTTTTGCGTTTATCGTGTATATTCGGGAACCCTCGCATTTTATCTTTACTATGTAAAGAAACTACGGAGCTATTCCGAGTTTCTTTTTCGTTTTGTTAATAAAAATAAGATTAATTCAACCGAAAAAAGAGAAAATAAAGATTTATCCCTTTCTTTTTCATCAATATAAGAAATATTAAAGCGTAGAAGGAAAAAATAATAAATCGCATATTTCATGAATGAATAAATTGATTTATTAATAAATAATTAATTAAATAAATAAAATATTTATATCATGGTAAAGCAGAGAGTAATTGTCAACATTTAAACAGTAACTCTATTTTTCGGAAATGGAATTCGATCGATCAACTGGTCTATTTCTTTAAGAAAATAATTTATCGAATTGTATGATTTATTTTGTAAAAAATTAAATACTATTAATATGATTTTCTTCAATGAATCGGAGTTACCAGAGAAAGATTTTTGGTAAGCTACGATGTTCGCGTAGACAAAAAGCAAATAAATAGATAATAAGCAGGATATTGAAATGTATCTTTTTTTAATGCAATATTCTGTTTTTCCTTGTTTATCGTCTGATAACGTTAGAAATACCTTTACGCGTCTGACCTGCATGTATGCACAATTAATATTTAAAGTCTTGATGTTACAAATATAATATAACATAACACAATGATCCAGATGATTTTAACAACGATTTTGGCCGTATACGTTCAAATTTTAAATTTATTTTTTAAAGCTAATTATAAATTCCTTGACATATGTTTAAATTAATAAAAGAAATCAAAATTATAAAATATAATCAATGAAAATATTCTACCCAATTTATCACACCATGGCTGTTACTATAAAATAGAAGATTTTCATTAATTTTATCTGGCATTAGATAACATAAAAATAATATATACATGAACAGGGGAAAACATGAAGTTTTTTAACAGCTTACCTTTTCGGCGTGGAAATAAACTCAAAATATAATCCATCGGGATGCCAAAAATCAAAATAAATTGAAGTCCTTTCCTTTCAAGAAAACTGAGAAGTATGTGTAGCTCTATAATTAGCACACTGTCTTCCTGTGCGGTCAACCGCCCCCTCCCCCTTCTCCCCTAACTGACACCTCGGCCCGTGTGTGTGTGATCACCGTCAACATACCTGTACTGATTTCTCACCCGGGGTCAATTACTAACCTCGAATACTACCTGGTTCTAATGAAACGCATCTACTTATTTTCGGGATTTTGTTCCTAACTTGTTTGAACAATTTTATCAAAGATTTAATTCAAAATGCATTAAATAATTGTACGATTTATAGATTAAAAAATCATCTTGAATGTTAAATAAAAATTCAAATAAATCAATTTAATGAAATGAAGTCCCTAAACTCACTCCGTTGATTCTTTTTCATTTCGTACAATGTTTCCATTATGTTTATGTAAATAAGTCTTTTAATAAACATAAAAAAATATACTGCCGTTATGGTACGTGCACTTTCGGGTCATCGGGTTTTCTACGTAAAACAGACAAAATTAATTCTAGGAAACAATTTCATTGATCGTAGAAACGGATGAAATAGTTCTAACATTCTAAACTATGAAAATTAGCTCGCAATATTTTTTAACGGTATATTACTATAAAAATAAAACAAAAGGAGTCGTCTGATCCGCCATGATCATGCAAGATTAATAAATACACCGAATCAATTTATAGTATTAATCGATTTTATTCCATACGTATATTACTTTATTTAAGAATTCAATATTATATTTGGCTATTTGGTTAGATCTTGTTTATCTAATTTTAAATTGGTTGCGGACTTTCAAAATACCGCCTTTCGAATATGCCTAATATGAGATTACCGTGTCAGTGTAAAATGATTTTTAAGGTTTAATAATTCATTTCCGTAATTAAACCTATTTTTCGTTATTATTAGAAACAGTACACACGGAGTTTAATAGCAATGATTTATAATTATTTAGTCGGAAAAGTCGCATTTCACTCTTTTTATATTTGTTAATTAATTTTTCTGTTTTGTATTTTAAAGAAGAAAGTATTTAACCATTCAATGTTCGTTAATAAATACGAGGTTTTAAGTATCTGTAATGAAAAAATGTTTACATGTACATAAGTCAGAGCTTAGCGTAAACGTACATGTGCAGTTGTAGCAGATTCATATTCTCATGACACAGTTTACATGTATTAATGCAGATCGCCATTATTTTAATAATTACTTAGATTTCTATTCAGAAAATTTAATTTTCTTGAACTGTTTCGTTCTTGATAGATCTATCATGTTAAATTTATTAATTTTGTTGAAGCCGTTTTCTTTAAACCTTTCTTTCGGCCAGTCTTCTACTTGTATTATTTTCTAAGATATTAATATTTAATTGCGATTTTTGGATACATCGCAGATTGTAAGCTTTAGACATTAAATACAAATATTTAATTTATTGCGTCAATTTCTTCCTTGAAATAACTTGGTACTTGTAGATAAATTTATTAGATAGAAAATTAAATGTATATTTCTCATAAATAATAAATCTGTTTATAGAGTTTCAAAAGTCACACTCTTGAGAAGAAATAAAAAAAAAATACAGTCTCCATTTTATAAAAATCCATTTAATCACTGTCAATTTTTTATATAAATAAAAAAAAACAACTTTTGTAAAATTAATACAGAGATCTCAGGTTCTTAGCTTTTTATAATAATTAAATGTACTTTATAGTTTAGATTTGAAGCTCTGCGAGTATTTAAATTAAAATGTAATTTAATTTAAATAATCTTTAATCTTTAAATTTCATTCAAAATAATCTTTTCGTCTTGTTAAAAAACGTTCCGCATTTTGAAACAATCCTATCAGGTTTTGCGTTTATCCTATCGTGTAGATCGTTTATCAGGTCTATCGTGTTTTGCGTTTATCGTGTTTTGCGTGTATCGTGTTTTACGTTTATCGTGTTTTGCGTTTATCCTATCGTGCGTGTATCCTGTCCTATCGTGCGTGTATCCTATCGTATCGTGCGTGTATCCTATCGTATCGTGCGTTTATCCTATCGTATCGTGTATCCTGTAAAGAATAACGATGCGGGTACTGTAATTAGTTTTACAAATTTTACTAGTGAAATCTAATGTAGACAGTAGTTTCTATGCTGTTTATTTATTTTTTTATCTAGATATAATTATTATAGCTCAGCTGAGAGTACGTTCTTTCAAGGTTGTTGTTTCATTATTTTTGTGCGAAATATTAATTTTAAGTTTTTAGAGAAAAGAATTTGAATATCTAAAGTGTTTTTAAGCTAAGTTATCCTGTTTATCCGACAAAACTGCTATCAGGAAAAATTATAGTTATGATGATAGATGATCGTGAAATACATTATTAAGCGGTTTAAAATGCCATTTCTCTATCGGAATGCTACCTGTTGTTATATGTATTAGAAAAACAGACGAATTTTAGTTAACAAAATCTACATGAATTGATTCTAATAATGCCATAAAATAAAATATTGCGTGAAATTTCGCCATTCACTTCAATACTTTATTATTTTACTTTAGCCTTTGACTGTTTTAAGTGAATGTTCTTTTCATAATTTCTTTATTGCTTTTATTGCCTTAAATTTTGTTTGTGGACTTATTTTTAATTTTAGAAAATTAGGTAACTTTTTTACTTTTAAGTTAATTGTTTCCCTATTTTTTTTTTAAATCTTTTGTTTTCTGAAATACAAACAAATAGTCCATATTGATAATATATTCTATTTTGCAGCGTGTAGTAACTTCACATATGGGTACAACTGTACTGAGCGATGTGGAAAGTGTGCAAATGACATCATATGTGACCACATGAACGGAACATGCGCAGAAGGATGTCTTCCCGGCTGGTTAGAGCCATTTTGTAACTCCTGTAGGTAAACATAAAAATAATCCATATAAAATAGTAATTACATGAGAATAAGAATGACTCTTCCCTTAAATAGATTTACGCTCTCATTTCTTTTTTTTTTCATTTGAAATTTTCTAATATTTTAAATCACAAATAAAAATTTTATAGAGGCTTTATGCATACAGCTATATATGTCAAAGAACGATTTTTTTTTCTAGAAAAAAATCTTTTAAAGTATTTCTTTTTAAATTAGCTATGAATTAAATTATAATCTGACAGCTTGTCCAACGGGCTTTTATGGATACAAGTGCGCGACATCATGCAGTGGTGGATGTAAAACAGCTGGACAATGTGACCCTATTGATGGACGGTGTATCGGTGGGTGTATGGCTGGGTGGAAAGGGGACCGATGCACTGAGAGTAAGAAAACATTTTTTTGTTCTACATGCATTATCTGCAGTGTAAAGTTCAATTTATTATCAAGGATGAAGGGATGAAAAAAAGAATGAAGGGCATTTGCAACAATAAACGTAAGTGATTTAAAAGCCAGCAGTACGGAAACATACAAGTCCTAATAAACTTCTATTCATCTAACGGACTTTAATACATATGATTCTTTGCATTTAAGTTAAAAAACGGCCAATTCTCAAATAAGAATAATGTTTCCAATAGACATGTTTTTTAATTCTAAAATTTGTACACATTTTCATTTCATTTTAATTTCTTATTGTCGAACATAATTATGATGGATTAAATATATTTGTATGATTAAAAGAACCGTCATTTTTGAAAATTAAAAATGCACAAAAATATAATATTTTAAGGTACAGACCCATCCAGCCTTGTCGAAGAGGATACGAATACAGCTGCGATAGCTATTGGTGTAATTGTCGGCGTAATTGTCATCATTATTGCTATAATCATCATTATCGTATTCATCAGGTAACTTTACAAAGTACAGTTTCATGTTTGCTTTTAATCTGAAAGGTTCTTATGTTGAATGTTGCAAAAGCAAAAAATAAATAAATAAATATATAAATAAAAATGATTTTTACTCTGAAAATTGTATATCTATAGAAAAAAATACAATTACACGTAAAATAGATTTAGAAATGATTTTTTTAAAAGGGAGAACACGGTCAATTAATGTTGATATAAAAATTTCATATTGAAAAACGGAAACAGAAGAACTCTACAAAAAATTATGCTTCTCTTCCGTAAATAAAGATAACAGATAACATTATGTTATCAAAGCGATCTTAAAAACAAAGTTTGAAAAGACAGAAAGATCAATTGATGTTGTTCCTGATGTTGTTCCATTTGTCAATCCCAGGCCCCAAAACTATTAACTGAGAATAGACTTAAGTCAAAAATTTAATTTTTAGTATCTTCGGTTCCGTTCAATGTATTAGCTTGAAAGTTTGCAACTGTGCAAAGACTTCAATTCAAACATATAGTTAAAATTTTATTCTATTATTAATATTATTTCGGAAGTTAAATTGATATGAAATTTTGACTTAAGTCTGTTCTCAGTTTATGGTTTTGGGGCCAGATTGTATAACTTGTATGTTAGATCTAAGTGGGTTTTACTTTTTTTTCAGATTTATTCAACGGTCAGATTCACGCATCATTGCAAGAGAGAAGAAATAAGAACGACTAAATGCTTTTATATAAATTAACAAACAAAAAAAATACAAAAAGATTTTATGATCGAATGGTTTAAATCAATTACTAAGTAGAATTGATTTCATCTTACTAGCTCGAAGAATGTTGAATTTCGAATTTGTATTTGCAAAACCTTCTGTGTTTTGGAAAACTCTCAGAAAATTAAGAAAATTGAAAGAGATTAATTGATAGAAAGACTCAGATTAATCATTTAATAGATTTAATTTTATCTTGATAGCTCACAGAATTTTTAATTTCATTTTTTAGTATTGTTATATAAAGAGTTACATTGTATATACGTATATACTTTTTTAGAGGATGTTAAATAAAGATGTACACAATATTGTTTTGAAATACATTTGTAATCAGACCATCCTTGAAATGATGTTTGTTTGCCATCTCCTCAGATAAAAGAAAAAAAAATCGGTGATTTAATTTGTGGTAGAATTTAAAAAATAGCATTGATATTGGCAAGATAAGAAAATTCAAGAAAAAAAACCGGAGGTTAAAAAGTTGTTTTTGCCAGTCTGCCAGGAGAGGGCAATTAAAAAAAGATGCATGTTTATCTAATAATATGTACATAGGTATATAATATCTACAAATGCAATGATATGAACATATGCATAAAATAATTTACAAATGTAGTGATATGACGAATGTACATATATAATACTAATAATCTACAAGTGAAGTGGTAATGAAATCATATTTAATATTTTTTTTTAAATGTATTGTTATGATACTATTGTTGATAAAATGGGCCTATATAATGAACAGTGTTTCTTATTTGAAATAAAATTTAAGTACTTGTTTGAAATGTTTTTTTTTTCTTATAAGGAAGCGGGAAGAACAGAAATAAAAGCCTAAGGGCAATATCAACAGGTATCTGCGCAGTATACTATGAAACCGTTTTTTCCTTTTAAAGGTTTGAGGTCCTTAATACATGTATAAAAAAAAATGAATGTTGTAAGGATACTGCTTCTCTTAGCAGTGTCAGGATTTTAGCCCTACCTTTTGGACAGTAGAAGAGATTTTCCGTTTGTTATGTCTTATATTTGTCTTTCTAGTTCTGTTGTCTACTTCGTAAACATTTTTAACCTTATACATGTACATGTTGGCAAGCTTATCACAGTTTCTTATTGCTGGTTTTGTACATGTCAAACATAACACTTTTATAGGGGGGAATAATATCATTTTCGAAATTGATGATAGAGACAAGAATTATTGAACAATCAGATTAACCAGCTCTGATCATCCGTAAAGTAAAATATGATATTTCTGATCCCATTAAATTGACTAAAAAACCAATACAATCAAACCATCATAAGGAAAAGGTAGACAAAAAACGCTTGCACATCAAAACAAAATACACCAGAATACAAGAACAATTTACGTATACAATTGCAATAATCCCCTTTATTTTCAGGACAGTTCTTGCATGTTATTTTAAACCCCTCATTTTTACTGTCAATTAAAGATTCAATCAACAAATTTTTCCCATAGCTTGTAAAAGTTCATTATTCTTTAAAATTATTTCATACTACACTTCCTACAGATTAAGTCATAGGATTCTATCTTTTGATACTTGAGCACATTAACTAAGTATCATAATGTCATCAATAGCATATTTTTTTTTCAAAACTCATTATTTTTCTATAAAAAGGCAAAATTTGTTATTGCTTTTATTTTGCATAGCCCTCTCCCAATAATTATGATCAAAAACATTTTAATTAACATTTCAATCATAGAATGAATTTCAGATGAATCTTAAGCATGATTTTTTCAATCGCTAGGTGGGCTTACATTTTTAATATTACCTAAGGTGTTCAGGTTTATCTAACTTCTTCAAAATTCATGAGTATTGTTAGATAAGAAAGCCTACATTACGTTGATATCCAATGGAGCGTTTTAAGGAAATTAAATGGATATTTTTACTTGTTGAGTTAATTAGTATACGGACAGGGTCATTTCATTGGTATAGTCAAGATTTAAGCCATATTTCAGAGCAGCATTCATTTCTATGTAACTCACATTTGAAATCCATTTACCAATTGATTTACATGTATTTAAACTTTATCTTGCTTATTTATGGCATTCTCGGTTGTCTTTCAGCTTAAAATATTTATTTTGAAATAGTTAAAAAAACTTTTTAATGCAGCATAGACTTTTCATCCTTTCACGGATGTTACCTGTTTTCAGACATTCATTGGTTCGTTGTCGCACAAATCACAATTTCTTAATGAATTTGTGGAAATTTGAAAAAGTTATATTAGGAAGTGTCGATTGCATCATTTAGGCTAATTTTCAATGTTAACATTTTACCATTGCTTATACGCGGTTTATTTTTTCTCTTAAGATAAAGATTACTTCAAAAGAATGTTTGTAATGTTCTTGCTCGGAAATACAAGGGAAAGTGCTCAGATGCTAATAAAAAAAATACCTAAAACTAAACAAAAAGTTGTTGCAAAGGGACATCGTTTTAAAATTGATCCATCTACAGTATGAACACCAATGAAATGATTTGGTCCATGATATTTGTTGTATCAATCGGAAGAACAAACTCCTTTGGTAAGATTTTCTTTCATTTTATTATTGTTATGATTCTATACATCAAATATAAATATAGTATAAATATTATCATATTTCTATTACTACCAAAGATAATTGTGATCTCATCAAATTGCATTCAAAATTATTCTGATTTCATCAGTAATTTTGTTCCTCCACCATGACATTTCATCCCTCCTCTAATGTTTTAAAGGTCTGCATTTGATTTACTCAAGATTTGTTATGTCTCATAATGAAGTTTTTCAATCTCAAAATCTCTTTTTCACAGTATGTTTAATAATGAAGTTTTTCAATCTCAAAATCTCTTTTTCACAGTATGTCTTATAATGAAGTTTTTCAAGCTAAAATTCTTTTTCTCACAGTATGTCTCATAATGAAGTTTTTCAAGCTTGAGTTACATCTCCATATTTTCTTAGACTTTTTAGCTTTTAAAAGGCCGGTGAGTGTTAGTACTAGATACAACAGTGAGTACTTTTCTCCAAGTAATGCTGTAGACGGGGATCGCAGTACAGACCTGTTGAAATGTACACTGACGGGCTTTGACCAGAAAGAGGCGTGGTTACGGGTAGACCTCGGCTCAAAGAAAAATATCGAATCGATATCAATTCTACATGGAGGTTGTAAGTATTTTCTCTTTCGTTTAGGATACATGTACGCTACATGCTCGTTTCTCCGCCTTATTTTATCTACAGGAGCATTTTATTAATGAATCTGATGAAATGATACATGTATCCTTCATTTAATAAAAAATATATTAATGGTCGATTCATCTCGTTATAAAGTTTTAAACATTTTATATGGTAAAAATATTCATTCGATGTATAATTTATAAGAAAATTATACATACAGTGTATTTCCTTACATTTTGAAACATTGTGGTATTAGAAAATATATTGACTTCTACGTTTGAAGGAAATTGATACAAAAACATGTTTTGCAAAATATTTTTCTTTTATATTGTAATGAGGGCTTTCTAATGGTTAACGCAATCGAAAGAGACACATATATTTTATTTCAAAGTGGTCCATTTTGTTTGAAACAGAACCAATATGTGCACAATTATTTCTTCACAGTGGGCGTGGATGCATCCCCAATAAGCTCAACTACTTCGGGTGTACTGCCAGATAATGACGGTGCAGGACATGTATTTCTGGTAGATAATGGAACAGTTTGTGGAGAAAATTTTGGTTCGGGCGATGCAATGGTTATCTGTCTGATATGGGGATTCATTCCGTAAGTGAAATACACGCATTTCATTTTTTAGGCCTTTATACCGCATGTCAAGAAAAAAAAATAGTTTGGCAGATCGAGGTAAGGTTACCACCGTCCGTCTCTTTGTTATAAATGAGTTACACAAAGAATAAATATGAATTATAGAATTAATATTTTCAAATTTATTCTAATGGTTTCTAGAAAGTTGCTTTTTTTTTCCAATTTTGTCTTTTAAATTGGAAAAAAAATGTTTTTTTTCCAATTTATTTCAATACCATGGCTTGAAAGAAAAAAAAACCTCTGGAAAATGCTATCAATTACAAGGATTAAAAAAGGAATAAAAATGCAAAAACAGAACTTGTTTGTTAAAAAAAATAACTAATGATTTCTTTAAAAAAATATCTATTTTTCCAGAGATTATCCATCATACAGGAAAGTGAATATGTCTTCTAGGATTCTTCTAAATGATCCCGAATGTAAAGGGGACGAAGTCAGCATCAATGAATGTCCGATGGGAGGACGAAATTGTTCTTCTGGTGAATCAGTGTCAGTTAAATGTAATAGTAAGTCGATATGCTTTTACATTTTTTGTTATTTTTATTTTTCTGTTATCGGCGGCGTGAGGCAGTGGTTAGAGGGTTGTGAAGTGCGTTAGTATAAGGAAATACAATATACAGTTAGTACAACTCGTGAAAATGATGAGGGGTAACTATGGGTTACAACCCACCTGAGTTGTGGACACCGGACGGGACAGTGTCGTGAGACGTCTGTATTGATCCTGGGTATTATCACAACTGGCTTAAGGTTTCGTCAAAGGTCAACATGTCCAAAAATTTATTTTTACAATAACTCCAAAACCATGTGAGGTATAAAGTTAAAACTTTTACAGTTTATAGATTTTTCATTGATTAACAGATAGAAAGTATCACTTGATAAAAAATACTTGGAAAAATATTTGAATTGAGAAAAAAATCTTTTTAAAAATGCACATTTCTTCAGAAAATGCACCTAATTAATTCCGTGCTTTTAATGAAAACCATCACTGCAGAAACAAAATATGTTTATCAATGAAGGGCAAGTTGGACTTGGATAGCGCCTGGAAAGTTGTTTTCCCTGTTTATTTTGTCGTTAAGACTTTAAAGCGAAAGTACATTGCAAATGGCGGGTTCTACAGGGGTCTTGTCTATATACATGTCATGTTTTCAATAACAGCCTTTCAGAGACCATTCACGTCCAACTTGCCCTTCAATGATAAACATATATTATTTCTGCAATGATGGTTTTCACAAAAAGGAAAGAATTAAGCAGGTGCATTTTTCTTTAAATATGCACATTTCCTGGTACAATTTTTCTCAAAAAATATCTTATTGAAAATATTTGTTATCAAGTGATACTTTCTATCTATTAATTAATGATATATTTATAAACTGTAAACATTTTGACTTTATACAACACATACTTTTGGAGCTATTGTAAAAATAATTTTTTAGACATGTTGACCATTGACGAAACCTTAATATGGTAGTGAGCAGCTGATTGTGACGTACCAAATACATGAATAGATGGATCCCGAACCCGAACTCTTTTATAAAGCCTTTACCACTTTAACGCTTCCCTCGATTTGTGAAGTAAGGAGTTAATCCTTACGTTGTAGGTTCGAATCCACTGCGGGACATGAATACCGGTTCTTGACTGAGAGTGTTAAAATTGAATTCCCTATCGCAGTAGGTGTTGCCACAAAAACCAGGAATAATGTCTTTCGAATAGCCTTGAGTATTTCGTAAATATCAACCTCAACATCTAAAGCCTTGCACCAGCAAGTAATGTGTCTCTTTATGGGCGAACAATTCTGGAGAGGGACGATAAAATTAAACAAACAAAAGAAATTACATGAGCATTCAGAAAATCTCATTACAATCTGAAAGCTGTAAGGGAAATATACAGTACTGTAAGACGGTAATCAACATTTTTCCCCCACAATTCAGTAATTAACAACCCTGTTTTTTTAACAGAAGGAAATACCTTTGCTGGTTTCTCCGTTTATGTATCTGACACGGAAGACTTTAAATCGGGCCACGCTTGTCACCATCATGCAGTAGAGGAAATACCAAGCAATACAATATCTTTTCCTTGCATCACTTCGGGTCGTTACGTCACTATTTTCAACTCAAGGAATGCGACTCAACTTCCATCCTTGTCAGAGTGGGCATATATCAATATTTGCGAATTAAATGTTGCAGGTATTTATTTTCAATTTCTCACTTATCAAATTTATTTGGACATTTGAATGTTGATCAGTCCGTCAATGTGCCTGATTGTTCTTCTGCTATTGAGGTTTCACATACAATTTTTTCAAGGTATCAAAGTCTGTACACATTTTGATAGGTTGTGATTATGGCTTTTACGGAGGGGAGTGTTCTAGATGTCCTGGTAACTGTCTAGACGATAATTGTCATGTCCAGACAGGTCTGTGTTCAGGCTGTAAGGATGGGTTCACAGGACCAACTTGCACTACAGGTATATTTCACATCACTACATATTATAATTTATGGTTTTGCTATAGTTCTATAAGGATATTGTTGTGTCTTTTATCCTTTGGTAACATAAAAAAATAATATCTAAAATGGATTTTAACTTACTGTGAACAGAGTATTTAAAAAGAATAATTAAATGTCACCTGGCCCTGGATCATAAAGCTTTTTACGCTTAAGTCAAAATAATCATGTTATACTAAAATTTTGATTACATAAAACAGTTAAAATTAAAATATTTATCAATATTGCTTCATAATATTGTTTTTGTTTGTAAATAAAGAGATTCATTCAATAATTGATAAATATTTTACAGTTGACTGAAGATTTGTCTTTAATCTAAATAGATTTCATGATCCTTCGGCCTGATCTTTTTTTTAACCCACTGAAATGCAAAACACAACAATAGATTCTGTTTTTTTTTTTTTATTTATTTTTGCTGTGTAAATTTACTACTTTCTTAAAGAAAATAATCTAATCCAGAATGTACAGCTGGCCTGTATGGACCGAATTGCTCTCTGACTTGTGCACAATGTCGTGACGGAGAATCATGTAACAAAATAAACGGGGCTTGTCCTAATGGGTGTTCCGCCGGCTGGATGGGAGAACAATGTAATCTAAGTAAGTCTAGATTCCAACTTTAAGATTTCTCTTTTATAGACAGAACAGATTTTGCGAATTATCACCTTATCCTTTATCTTCTAATCTGATTGATTAATTGATTGATTGATTGATTGTATATTGTTTAACGTCCCTCTCGAGAATTTTTCACTCATATGGAGACGCCACCATTTGCCGATGGAGAGCTGCAAATTTTGTCATTTACTCGGCACTCAGGGCCATTGAGCAGGGAGGGATCTTTTTCGTGCCAACACCTACTGCGACACGGGACCTCGGTTTATACGGTCTCATCTCAAGGACCGGTCTTCACGTCCCGCAGTTGGAATTCGAACCCGCGACGTAAGGATTGAATCCTCACTTCGCGACTCTATAGCAGACGCTCTAACCAATGCGCCACGCGGGCGACACTTCTAATCCTAAAAACCATGTGGAAAGTTTATTTTTTCCGGAGGTGGTATTTTTTCAATGTAAATGCTAGTCACTCCTGAACTAAAAAAATCAAATAAAAAATGATTTCTTTCTTTTATATTGTTGTCTCAAAATAAGAAAAGGTTACAAATGAAACTTTATATACATTGTTTTTAAACTTTCGGATAAAAAAATAGAAACTTTGAATATTTGTATTTTTAAATATTGTCAATAGCCTTATTCATCATTCATGAGAGAGGAATAAAATATACTGTATATAAATGTTTCTGTCTAGAATGTGATTACGGTTTCTTTGGTCAGGGATGTAACAATTCCTGCAACATTCCTAACTGTAAGAACAGCTCCTCATGTGATGACGTCACTGGTGCATGTCTTCTCGGCTGTATTGATGGTTGGACAGGGAAAATCTGCAATGGTTAAGTTTATTAGATTTTAAAAATCTGCAATGGTTAAGTTTATTATTTTTTTAACGTAACATATGACTACTTCTTATATAAAACACATGGAGGTGAGTGCAGAAAAAGAAGGAATTATCTAAGCTTAGAATTATTTCTGGTTTTTTTTTTGTTTTGTTTTGTGTTTGTTTGTTTTCGTGTGTTTTTGTTTGTTCTTTGTTTGGGGAAAATCCATAATACAAATCACTGAATCAGAATAGCGAATTACGTCCCGCAACTGTCATATTTTGGAGATGCGGTTATTCGATATCACCTGGCTTTAAAAAAAAAGTGTTTTTTTTCTTGTTTATTGACCAAGGATAAAGAAAACATACAAATAATTATTCGACCGTCTAGATAAGGCAAAAACAGTCTCTTCTTAACTATTTGCAATTTGGTTTGCCTTACCAGATGACAAATTTTGATTCAGAGTAGTCTGAGCTATTGAAACACCTGATGACAAAATGTATTGTAAATGTGCTTTCTTAATCCCCACAATCTAGATGCTTAGTAATTATGAGGTAAAATGCGTTCTCTGAATATTTACATTTCTAAAATAAGGTTTTTTAAATATTGATATGTGCTGGAATTATTTGAAAATGATTACCAAATGCACCAATAAAAAAGTTTTTTCTTTCTTTTCACAGAAAAGACCAGTGATATGGTCACATATATCATCATCGGCTCAGTATCATCGATCATTTTCATTATCTTGGTCGTCGCTGTTTCTGTAAGACTCATCCATAAAAAGCCTTGTCATAAGAAAGAGGAAAGCTTCGAAAAGTCGTCAGCGAATAGTGTAAAAAGAGAGTATGATCATATTGCAAAAATTAGGATAAATAAGGAATTAGAGGCTAACCAGACATGTTATATGGATACCTCAATGGAAGACATTATAACAAGATCCCAGCATGTGTATGATGAACCCGAATTTTAAACGTTTTTGATCTAAACAATCCGAGTTAAAATGACATACTAATGAATCGTGAATTGAAGTTCAGATGAGGTATCGCTTTGTTTGAACCAACTTTGAATGATCAGTATCATGCCATCGTAATTCATATTGTCATTTAAATTAATATGATCCGATTTTACAATGTATTTCTTATACGGTTATATAAACATATTTTCTAATTGTTTTCTTTGTAATGTCTCATTGATTCTTAGGATTGATTGATTGAATTTCTATTGTTTAACGCCGAGTCGGCAATATTGCAGCCATATTTCGGTGGACAAGTTTGTTAATTGACCGGTTTTTGAACGATTTTGGTTTCTCTGGCGGTACCCCCAATGAGCCTACTCTTTTTCGAACTTCATAGAAACGATCTTTTACGTGTCAGGGGTTTTTATCTTTAACACGGGGCACCATTTTATGTCCCATTTAAAATATGTAAATTGTTAAAAATAAAATGATCTAAATATATCTCATAAAATTGCTCTAATCATTTCTATATTTAATTGTAAAAATCAGTTTCATGTAAATATTCCAAAATTGCATGTACATTAATTTTTGTAAAAAAAAAATCATATATCGTTTCTGCATTACCAAAAAGTCTACTTCGAATAGGCGAAAAAGCAGAACATTCCGATAAAATATGATTTATAGTTATCGAACAGTCACAGGATATGCATTCAGGCTGAGACTCCCGATTCAGTAAGTGTTCATGTGTTTTTTTAGAGTGACCAATACGTATTCTTTATATAATTACTTCGTCTTGAAGTTGCAGACGGAAGTCACATGATTTGTTATGGGATTGATTTCGTGATAATTCCGCCAGGTAAAGCCCTGGAGCCAGTCATATATTTCCGTCTCTGACATCAGTTGACAAGATTAAAAAAAAAAAAAAAACAAGGGATGCCTCTTGTATTTTAAACCTATTCGAATACTATATTTACAATTAATTTCACATAATCACTGATAATAATAAATTTTTATATGAGGAGTCACTGTCTAGTGTCTTGGGTATTCATGGAACCTCGACTACAGTTAACTTATGTAAATAAATCTTACGTTTCCAATTATTCTTGATAATATAGCATACCCAGCAAATCATATAAGAAGTGTAATTAAAAAAAAAGAAAGAAAGATAATGCTTATTTTTTATGTATTTATTTATCAATTAATATACCTGTATATCCAACATTTGAGTCGACGAAAAAAAAAACAACATTTAATTATCTATTTAATTCTCATTTTGACGATCAAAAACATTGCTCAACTTTTCATCTCTCTCTTTGAAAATGCATTTACTTGTTTTAGTTTTCACTTATTTATTTATTTGATGGACGATTTCCTCGTAACCCACTGTGCATAATACTAAAATGAGTAAAAATTCCATGGATCCATTATTATATTTTATCACAGTCTTGTTACATCTGATATAAATGAAATCAAAATTTGAATTTTAAAAAAAATCATTATATTGTAATTATTCCATGCTTTTCAAATTTAAGTACAGCGGAAATATCCATTTGTACACTTGAACTTCTTGTACTAACTGCATTTAAGTCGACAATTTTTATTTGTTTCCATCAAAAAAAAGCAAATGCGGTTTTAAATGAAAAAAAAGCAAAACAAATGATGTATGCACACTTAAATTATTTTTTTTTATTTACTTGAGACATCTTCATTTTCATTTAGATTGCTATGGACAACAAATCTAACAAAAAAATATATGCAAAAACCTTAATAATTCTTTACCTTTCAAATGAGAGGAAAAAAAATATTCATTCGAAGAAATGTTATTTGAAACAAAAATTTCATTGTTAATAGACTAATAGTCGCGAATTCTATTATCAGCACTTGTCACACAGAAAAAAAAAACCCCAATGGTATTTGTATAAATTGAGTAAACTGTCGAAATTATCAATTTTGAAAATTGGTTTCCAGGAACTTCGTCTTGAAAATCGGCTTTAAGAATGTCTTGCATCGTTGCAAACCACAGCCATAATGTACGATCCTCTCCCATTCTGGTCGTGGTTGAATGAGACGAGAACATTTCGTAGATCATTAAAAAATTGACCAATGCGAGTAAAGCATGGCCGAAAAAATGAACGATCCGACCTTTCAATATTCAATCGTAGTGTAAGAAATATTTCTTGTGTACTTTGATGTCAATATTGTTGATATCAATTGCGATGGAAATTAAACAATGACTGAATATAACGATCACAAAGAGAGAGATGTAAATATTGAAGATTACGACACTTTTTGTGACCAAGCAGCCACGGGTAGGAGAGAGCTAAATATATATGCGGACTCCGGACCGCGGCTTAAAAGGATGGATTTCTTGCTGGACTATTCATTGTTTTTTAATAGAAGTTTTACTTAAATTCATACATACATACATTTGTGTATCTGTTTGTATATTTCATCATAGTCAAAACGCAAGTAAGTTAAGGCAGGCTAGAACATTTTCCATGGGAATGAGATAATGAAAATGCATAAATTGTGTAATTTTTACACAGAGAAGGTTCAATCTTATTTTCTCATACATACTTAGTACCCATAGCATGATAGAGCAACACCATATTATGACGTCATATTATGACGACATTAAACTTTTCCATTCAAAGTTATGAACATCAACAAAATAACGCTGGCGCAAGGACAATCCATATATAATTTTCAGTAAATAAAGTAAAATATTACAAAGAATGTTATAAAAATTAATACCATTGCTGCAGAAATCCTAAGCGCTTTCTCAATTCATGAAAATTTCAGGAAACTTGCAACGGACAGTGAATTTTTGCCCTGTTTATAGCTTAAACTTTTGAAATAGTAACTAAACAATCGCACTGTAATATCATAAATCCTTGTAATCTTTTGTGTGTAATAATACCTTGTTTTTGCAGTGCAAAGTTGAGTATGCCCTGGCGCCGAAGCTATTTTGTAGATGTTCCTTATAAACTTGTGTAGTACAAGACTATGACGTCATAATATGAAGTCATAATGTGCACTGGCTTGGGCATGTCATGGGTACCAACAAAACAAGTTTTAACTTTTTCTGAGCAATAATTTCAGTCCTTCTGCGTTTTAATTACTTCATTGCATAGAAATCTCTATGCATTGCCTTAACTTACTTGCGAATATCTTCTTATATATTGTATTTCTAAAATTTCAATTGTACCATGAACGTATATAATAAACTTGAGTTCAATTTTTTTTTTACTTTGAAATGACTGCAACTTGCTACACATTTCATTTTAATGTTTGATGATCCCTTTTTTACAAGTAAGTTTTTTTTGTAAATGCTATTTAGCATAAATGCTGATTTTAAAAAAAAGTTACACTAGTAAAACGCTTTAAAAAAATCAGTGTACCAACGGCAGAGTAACATAGTTTGAATTAAAAAAAAAAGCGATACTACTGAAGCAAGGGTTACGTTTCTTTCTCCCCTTAAGCTGCACAAATATTATTTCTTTATGGAAAGGCGAATATGACAATTATAATTCATCTTCTAAAATTACTTTAACATGATAGTCAGAATGCAAGGTAGTCATGTCTTTCAATCCTATGATCCCAATTTTTTTCATTTAATTTCATCACGTTTTTTGTTTAAATCGGAATTAAGTTATAAAGATGATTGAATTTTTCCATCCTTAACTGAATATCTTGTCTCGCTGTATTTTCGCTTAAGGTCATACGCAACGTATTTTCAACTTTTTGGGATTCTTCTCTGGAGTTGAAGAGTTCCATTAATAAAGGACATGTTTGCAATGTTTTTAATGTGTATTTATTGATTTGTACACCTATTCTAAAACAATTTTTGACAAAAAAAATCTGAAATTTATGTTTTATAATTTTTGTATATTTTTATTTGAATAATGCCAAAATTTTCAAAATTCGATATCTTTTCAAAACCCCTGGTAACGCATGCTGATTTTTTGTCTAAGAACATGTAATGATATTATAAGTTTAAATTTTAGAATATCTTGTAAAGTTATCAGTAGGTAAGGTACGTTGAGTATGTCCTTAATTCGCAAGAACAACTGCAAGATCTACTCGGGTCTCTAGAATTTACAGGATATCAAGAAATAACTTGTCCCGAAACAAAAACAGTGTGAAAATTCCTCTAAGCGTTTATGTATTACTGAAATATTGCTGAATTTTGAAGAAAATGGATAGATTGGAATATTTTCAGCTAATGCATAAATAATTATATCAAGGATATATTAACTACTGTGGTTTCGTCAATATTATTAAATAATTAATCGCTATTTTTTTTTATGTACCACAGACACCAAAAAAAGAAACGATATCCTTCTTGAAATTCAATGTCCTTATTCTTTCAGTAAAGAGTCGGACAAACAACATAAGTCGGATAACCTGGCACATATTTAAAAATCCGATGGTTTGTTTTTAGTCTCCTTTCCTATAAGATGTGCTATGCTAAAGTGCGCTGATCTGTCACTCTAACATCCGATATTACGGAGAAGCAACGTTTACGACGTCACAAAAATCCTTGACACTGATGTCCTTGATTTAAACGCTATCACTCCTAAATTCGGCCTTTCATACAATTGTTTTCATTTTGATTGATTTGTTGAACCTTACATGTATATTAGGATTCTCTCTTGCACGCTACTCGACTGACATTGATAATTTCTTGCTTTTCACCAAATTTTATCCTATTGACCTAATAATCCACTTTCTAAATTTTGACAGAATTATCATCTTTTAAAGGTTTTTCCGGATTTGTTTTTTAAATACGCCTTACCCATTATTTACCGGGAACCCCTTTTATTTGTGCCTGTCTTTATCCTTATGGTTTGTTCATAGTTTAATGAACCGAGCTGCGTCAGTCAAAAAGCATTTTATACCTTTCTCTGTATGAGGAAATTTTGTGAAAATGCACAAAGATAGCTATTTAAATGAAACCACAAATGGCTCGAGATGAAAGAAAAATTTAAAAGGGTACTATGTAAAAAATCAAATTGATATCCTTTATTTCTTCATTTTCCTTCTCAGCAGTTTAGAAACAGTAATGCGTCTAAAAACTTTCTCATTGGCAATTTCTCTATTGCTAAGGAAATAAAGTACAAGATATAAAACATATACACAGTCTATGCACAAAACAGGTCATAAGAGCTATATGATATTCGAATGAATTGTTGCTTAGTAAACATAAATTGGTTGATTTCTTTCAAATCAATGTTGTTTGAGAAGCATAAATTAAAAAAAATCTCAAATAAAAGGTTCTGTTGCTAAAAAAGGAAACCATTTCCAACACGGTTTAATCTTTTTAAAAAAATCAAGCAAAATATAGAAATATCTAAAGAAGGCAGTGTGAAAAATCTCATGAAAAGGGAAACAGGAAAACGACAATTGCTATCATTTTCGCAATATGAGCAGGTTTCCTTGTAGTTTATTTTTTTTTTTCAAATCAAGAGTTCTAAGGTTGTAATATTAAAAGTCACCGCAAAATGTAATGAATAGAGATGACAAACAGAATTCGACCTTTAAAGTTCACTGAACCAAAGCAAATCCAGAGCAAAGCAGATGTGGATGTCCGAAAAATCAGAGTTGGGATCAGCTGCCAAAGAGGAGTTATGCTCCCTGCCATGATCGGGAAAATAACAGAAATATCCGTGGACAATTCAATGTGTACATAATGACCTACAATTAGTAATAAAAGCTTGTCAGCATTTTATTTAATGATAGATTGTATTTGCTGACAGTCATTGTATGGACCATAGAATTTGATAAATGATGACTTTATACGAAACTGTTTCATCGACTTTTTTGTCAATAAATTATCTCATTTAAGAAATTGTTCATACAGCATGATCTAGCTTATCTTATCAATTGATGAGAAACATAAACTCTGTACACAGGTGATAAGGGTATATTGCTGCCTAAATAAGGGAAGTTTGCGATCGAAAAGTTGCAGTCATCACGTTTATCAGAGAGCTTTCTTGTTACATTACCAATTCAATAAAGCTTTTTTCTAGTAAGTGTAGAGAATAGACCCGCTTCTCTTTGTAATCTTAATTTATTAGATCTTCTTGTCGCAAACTAGAAGACCTTATTCATAAAATGTGTCCGTCGTCTGTTTAGCTGTCCGTCTGACCATTCCTCTTACATTTTACCAAGGTAGAAGACAGGTATGCTTTACTCAAATTTATTATTCTTAATATTGGTTTAAGATTTCTTCAATGATGTTTCCCAGGCCTCTAAAAGTTAATATTCCTCTCTTTGAAAAAAAAAAAAAATTAAAAAGTCACTCTTTTTGCAGTTTTGAAAATATTTTATTACCTTTTGGTATATGAGCATAACCAGTATATCATAAATAACATTTTTCGAAGTTTCTTTTTTTAAATATCGACAAACGGTTTTGAACGTCAAAGATACATAATTATCTTTTTTGCATATTAATTATGACAAACGGAATTGACATGCTTACAAAAAAGAATGTGTGTGAAATTCTTCAGTGTACATTTTTATCCGATTTCAATAAGATTTGTATACATGTACACGTATACCATACATAAATAATTGTTTTTATCTGTGTTTGGTTTTTCATGTTCCGGGAGTTAGTTTAAAGAAAACGATTCTGATGAATATTTTCAAGTTCTTGCTCCTCATCGGGTTCAGTTAGGTGTAGTAGACAGTCAAGTAGTCCGTATAATGTTTGTACCGTTATGCATTTTCTCATGTTTTGGAGACCCGAGTTTGCTCAGCTCCTATTTTGTATTGTTTAAAAATATGGTCTTTTTCAATCTGAATTATGCAAAAGTATTTTTCAAAATACATGTATTTTTGCAATGTGTGTCACTTTCATGGTCACTTTTTAAAAACTAATGTAGTGTAATCTACATAAGAACGTGTCAACATGTAACGGATTTTACCGGTTTAAAAGATATCCATTGGCTCGTTGTCAAACAAATCGCCATTTATGTTATATTTTTGTGCAATGTTTAAGAGTTAGGAAGAGAAGGATATTGCTTACATTATTCAAGCCAATTATCCCATGTTAACAGTCTATACTAATACATCAGATATATTTTTACTTTTAAAATATGTTACTTCAAAGTGATGTGTGTCATGTTCTTGTTTGCAAATGTAATTTTAAACAAATACTCGGAAGTAAACAGAAAAAGAGAAACAAAAAGACATGTCGAATGAAATCCCAATTATATTCAAGCTAACTTCAGTATGGAAACCTACGCAATATTTTCGTTCATTGTATTTTGTAAGCTAACTGGAAAAACAGACTCCTTCAGTAAGATTTGTTTTAACTTTTTAGTTGATGTAATTCAATACTTCAAACACGCATATATACGATTGTAATATCTAAAATGTCACAGTTAATAGTCTAATCAAATTTCATTGTTATTTCTACCGAAATTAACTTCTTTTATCCTGCATGGCACCTGATCCCACCTCTGATATCCGTATTTTCTCTGCTCTTAATTTATATTGTTTCATTGGAATTTGAACTTGTATACTGCTCGTTAAATCCATATTTTCCAATAGAATTTTTAGCTTTTAAAAGGCCTGTGACTGTAAGTTCTAGATACAACAGTGAGCACTTTTCTCCAAGTAATGCAGTAGACGGGGATCGCAGTACAGACCTGCTGAAATGTACACTGACGGGCTTTGACCAGAAAGAGGCGTGGTTAAGGGTTGACCTCGGCTCAAAGAAAAATATCGAATCGATATCAATTCTGCATGGAGGTTGTAAGTATTTTTGACACCCCTTCCCCTTTTGGATATTTAGGACACATGTATGGTAAGATTCTCTTCCTGTATTTTCTCTGCTACCACATTTCTTTATTCATTATAAACCTAATGTGTATTACTCGATTTTACTATTGATTTTATGCAATCAAGTGAAGTCGTAATCCTACTTTCCGAAACACCACACTGTGGTTTTCTGAATTTATATCACTACTTTTTGAAACTGATGACGTAGTACGCAAAAACATGACGTTATCCTTCTTTCGCGTTAAAAAGTCCATTGCTTTTTTTGCATTGTTTTATGAATATTACACAACTGATTTCTGAATTTTTAATTTGCTATATTTAGCCAGTTATATAATAAATTAATAATAAATTTATCATTATAACAGTAACTTGATCCGGAGAGCCGTATCACGTCTCGTTGACAGGCGCGGATCATCAGATCAAACTCGACGCTTTGCTTCTCGTTAGATCTGATAATCCGCGCCCGTCAACTCGACGTGATACGACCCTTCAGATCAAGTTACTGTTATAATAATATATATTTATCTGTTGATATTCTCCATGGAAAACATACACATTTATATAGAAATAAGTGGATTGTCTCAGAAACTCCTAGATATTTATGTTATATCAAAAAGGTTATTCATACAAAAGTGCATATTAAGTAAGAAGCGACGATATATTTTCTAAATTTTTATATGTTTATTTGTTTATATTCTTTTTCCACAGTGGGCGATGATGCTTCTCCAATAGAATCAACTATACTGGGTGTACGTCCAGACTCTGACGGTACTGGGACTGTATATCTCAGGGGCAATGGGAATGTATATCTCAGGGGCAATGGAACAATATGTGGGGATAACTTTAATACGGGAGACGCAATGGTGATATGTCTAATATGGGGATTTATTCCGTACGTACCTTAGTTGTATTTGTAATTATTTTGTTAGCCCTTCTTTTTGCATGCTGAGGATATAAACATGTATGCACTGGAAGAGTATCTGTCGTCCGTTTGTTTGTCTATAAACAATTTCAAAAACTGGACAATTTTTTATCCAGATTCGATAACATTTTCGAAAGTGGATATTTAATTATAATTTTCTTGTTATCACACAAATATCCAAAAAAAAACCCATATGTATTGAAATTATTTAAGATACTATAGCTTTGGCATTTTAAGTGCTTTTAAACTTGGAAATACTATAATTCTAATATAGAAAATTTCTGACAATAACATTTTATCAATGTAAAACAGTTGGCAGAGCTCTGGCTTCTTTATTCTTTGCAATCATTCATTCGTAGAGATCCTACAACATTGTATAGTCAGTGTTTGTATTATTTTCCCTCCAAAATCGTCCTAGTAAAAGCTTCGATCTGTACTACTTAACTAATTTATCTCAGATAAGTGCATTTATAAAAATAAAATTTACTGTGGCGAAGATTGGGCACGGCTGTTTATCCAGAGACCAAATTTATGAAAAATTTTTGGTATCTCTGGCAACACAACAAAGCAAAGATTACATAAATTAAATTAAATATTAAATATTCAAACTCAGGTTCAAAGTTCATAGTTCAAAGGTCAAATTTCACAAACACCATCTCAGAAAGTGGTAAAAGCCTTGACCCTGGGAGGTGCAGAGGTCAAGCACTTATTTATGTAAATCTAAATCCAAAGTTTACTTTTCAACTTTTATGAGTTACATGACTGCATGTAAGGATTGTTACTTACTTGCCGCTCGTTTACGCACAACTCAGATCAGCTGGAAAGAAACGGACATCCGTACCAAATTATATAAATCAACATTATTGTTTTAATGTTGTGGTTAAAGGAAAGTTATTGGTTCCTGCAAAATTGGTGCATGATTTGCTCTTGGAATGAATCACTTCCATATGAATAGTTGTTCCTCACATCGCTTTCACATTAAATCAAGTACAGAATGGTGTGTGCCCGTAGAGGTCCTTGTGTTTCTATTCCCTGAGCTGTTCCTAAGACCCTAGTTTCATCTCATAAGCCCTGTCATGTTGAGACTGATATTCGCTCCAAGTCTTCCTCTGAAAGCATAAAAAACTAGGAAAGCAGCATCTATTCTACACGGGTGAGGTGGGTGGGTTTTTCAAATTTATAATACACAATAACAAGCTGGAAAATTTACCGACCCAAGATGATGCTGGAATATTGAAAAAGGAAGTAGCAACCAAAGCGACTTCAGGTGATTTTATTAAAAGGGGCAATAATCAACTAAAATATTTGAAAAGAACGATAATCACTAAGTATTGGGACTTAGGTAAAGGCAATTGTGCACTTCCTCCGATAAAAGCAGCTAATTCAGAGTGATTTAGCTTTGAAAAATAAATAGAAATGTATATTTCTTTACACCATGTCTTATGGTTTCCAAAAAGAGGTTAATTTTTATTTATTTATTTATTTATGTATTTCAATTTAAATGTAAATGTAATAAAATTTATGGCACTGTAAAATTTTCTTTTACCCGGATTAGAAATTATATGTGAGCGATAAATGTTGAGTGTGTTCGTTAACAAAAAAGGATGCCTTTTTTATGTTTATTGCAGGGACTATCCATCATACAAAAAAGTAAATACGTCCTCCAACATTGTACTGAATGACCCCAACTGTAGTGGGAACGAAGTTAGGTTAAACGAATGTCCAATGGGTGAAAATAACTGTACTTCCGGTCAATCAGTGTCGGTGAAATGTAGAGGTAAGTAGTTGTCTCATTATGTATCTCCTTATTTTCATTATCCGGGACATTTTGAAAATTATCTGTCTTTTTTAATGACAACTGTTACAAAAACGATTTTGAAAGTGTGATATTGTATTGTTATCACAGTACAGTTAAACTTGTCAAACCGAGCACCACTGGTTCGAAAGAAAAAAGCCGAAATAGACAACATATACTCCGAGAAAGACAAAATTTTAAACAAGTGAAATTAAAAAAAATGGACTTTATTTCACATTGTATACATAAAGCAAGATTTTAAATTTCAGATCCGGATTAAACAATTTTTACTGTAATCGTTTTCATAATGGATTAATCAACAATCTTTTTTTTTTTTAATCAGAAGGGAGTACCCTTGCGGGTTTCTCTGTATATATATCTGACACAGAAGACTGGAAATCGGGACATGTTTGTCATCATCATGAAATAGAAGAAATACCAAGAAATACAATTTCTTTCCCCTGCGTCTTTTCCGGTCGCTATGTTACTGTCTACAATTCAAGGAATGCGACTCAATTCCCTTCTGTGTCCGACTGGGCATATATCAATATTTGCGAATTAAATGTTGCAGGTATTCTTTTTCAATCTCTCTGTAATTGAAGATTTATGGACATTTAAGTTTTTACCATTCCGTTTGTCTTTATTTAGTGTTTGACATGAAAATCTTTCAAAATCTCATTTTTCAGGTTGTGATTTTGGTTCTTATGGAGGAGAATGTTCCAGGTGTCCCGAAAAATGCCTAAACAATAATTGTCATATTCAGACAGGCGCCTGCTCTGCCTGCAAAGAGGGATACACAGGACACACGTGCACAGGTACAGATATCTAACATATATTGCTTCATGGTTTCGCTAAAGATATAAAAGGGTTACTTTCCTCCTTGGCCGCCATTTAAAAAGAAAGTAATATCTAGACGGGGCTTTAACTTATTTTTTTTACAACGAATTTACAAATAGTAATGAAAAGGTACCTTGTCTTCTTTAATACATTAAAATCAAACAAACAACACTGAATTTTGTTTTATTTTATTTCATCTGTGGAGAAAAATGTACTCACTTTTTGGCACAGAATGTTCAGCAGGTCGGTATGGAGAGAGCTGCTCCTTTACTTGTGGACAATGTCGTGACGGAACAACATGTGATAAAATGAACGGGGCTTGTCCTAATGGATGTTCAGCCGGCTGGATGGGAGGAAAATGTGATCAACGTGTGTCTAAATTTCAAGTTCTGTCAAAAATCGAACTAAGTTTGCAAATAATAAATTTTCCCTTCACAACTTACACCTTTTTTGGCAATGATCTTACTAGAATCTTTGTTATAGTACCAATTTTCTCTATCTGAGGTTTTTTTTCAAAATTCCAGATCAATTAATAAACATTTTTGATATTTAAGTCACAGGCGAGGATGAAATTACATGTATATTATAGAGGCTTTATTATTACCTATATTTTTAACCTATCGAAAAACACATACACTTGTAATTTATTATACTTATAGCATTTTTCATCTCTGACAATGGACTTCATAAAACGGGTAAAATCTTCTCACTTATAAACATTTCTTTTCCAGAATGTGAGTACGGATACTTTGGTCTTGGTTGTAATAATTCATGTAGCATTGCAAACTGTAAAAACAGTTCCTCTTGTGATGCCATTAATGGAGCATGCCTGGTTGGCTGTGTAGATGGTTGGACAGGAAGTACCTGCAATGGTAAAGTTTATTATCTTTTATAATGACTACTAAAAATATTTTTCTTGGAAGGTGTTAATTTGTTAAGGATGTTTTTTTTTGGGGGGGGGGGAGGGGGTGAATCCATATTGAAATACATTGCTTTACATTAATAATTTCGTCCTGTGGCTGTCATAGTTTGGGGAGGCAGTTATCAATTTTCTTTTGTCTCTAAAAACGGTTTTTATATTTTCTGATAGACCACAAATGAGGAAAAATATTCAACAGATCCATTAATGACTGAAAAACTTGATAATGGAGACACGTTGTATATATGTTGGGATCCACTTTTATTTATATTTTTGATTAATTTGAACTATTGTAACACGCATAGGGTTAAAATGGGTAGTGGTATTGTTTTTCTTTGATTCCCACTTTGATCGCTGATTTCGTTATTATGAGCTAAAATGTCACTTTAAGAATTTGTGTATACATATCTGAAATAAGGTATTCAAAGATTTGTATCTATTTGACAAAATCCCCATTTTAACAAATTACCATGTACATTAAATAAGAGACATTATTTCTTTATTTTTACAGAGAAACCCAATGGTAGGGTAGCATATATCATCGCCGGCTCAGTTTCATCGATCTTTATCATTATCTTGGTAGTTGTTATTTCTCTTTCATTAATCCTGAAAAAACCTTGTCATAAAAAATCGGAAAACTACGAAAAGTCGTTAAAGAACAGTATAAAAAAGGAATATGATCACATTGAGAAAATAACGATAAATATGAAAAGAGGGAATAACCAATCATATTATATGGATACCTCCATAGAAGATATTGTTTCAAGATCCGAGCATGTTTATGATGAACCCGATGTATAGAATTTTTTGTAAACTTTCTTGATATATGTATCCGATATATCGTAAACAATCCCAATGGTCATATTTGAAAATGACATTCTAATAAATTGTGGAGTGAAGTAATTATTTAAATGACGCATCACTTTGTTTGAATCAACTTTGAATGATCAATGTTATACTATTACAATTTATATCGTCATTTACATGAATACGACCCAATTACGCAATTTATTTCTTATATTGTTATATGAGCATTTCTAATTGTTTTCTTTGTAATATCTCTTTGAAACTGAAGAGACTTGATTTCTTGATAATTATGAGTTTAAATTCCGCCAGGTACATGTAAACGTCATGTGAATGACATGCATTTTAATCTCTGACGTAATGAGCAAGGATATATGAACGAAATAAGGGATACTTGGTGTGTTTTAAATCTATTTGACTTATCTTAGTTGAGATGAAATCAATCTCTAGCTTGTAATGCAGTAATGCAGATATATCTCCTTAAGTTTTCAATTATCGTTGATGCCCTGACATACCCAACAAATTACGTGTACATATGCAGAGTGTGTGATTCTTTTTTTAAATGCTTATATCTTTATGTCAAATATGACATAGTCATTTAAACAATTGATAAACCTGTATATCTAACATTTAAGAAATTTTTTTTTTCTATTTCATTCTCATTTCCAGAACAAAAGACGCTGCTTTCTATTTCTCTCTTAGAAATATGCAATTTTCTTTAGAATTGTTTTGATATTCAAATATTGTTTTCTTTATTAACAATATCCTCATAACGCATTGTGCATCATACTATTCAATATTGCATATTATCACAGTTATTTACCTCAGTATCTGATAAAAATACAAACGAAATCTCAATTAAAAGATTTTTAATGGAAATAATTGCATGTTTTCCAAATATAAATTAATGGAAATATTCATTTGTACACCTAAAAAACTTGCAGTGACCACCTTTACCTAGGCAGTATTCAACTGTTTTCATCTTAAAGTGCAGACTGCTGTTTTAAATGAAAAAGACAAAGCACATTATATTTATGTACACTTTGAATAATTTATTTTCCTTCAATTTGCTTGAGACATTTTTATTTTCATTTAGTTTGCTATGGTCAACAAATCCATCATTAAAAAAAGTAAGCAAACTCTCCAATACCTATATACCTTTCTAATGAGACAAAAATACTTTCGAAGAAATGTGTTCATGTTACAAAAAATGCTATATTATAAAAGACGCGCATTCTATCATAAGCACTTGTCACATGAGTAAACATGGTATTTGTATAATATGCGTCAATTGTCGTTGTTATCACTTTGGAATATTATGTTTCGAGAAATTCCCTTTTGTAAATCACCTTCTAGAATTCCTTGCTAGACTTTTTAAGTTTTTTTAATTGAAGTTTCAATTGATTGTGCATCTCAAATGTATATATAAGTAAATAACATTATAAAAACTTCAATGGGAATATAATTTAAGGGGGCCGGTCTCGTGATCAAATCCTGTGAAGGACGAAGATATTGCTGCACAAATGTCGACACTGCAATTGTTTATTTTCTACTTGTACAGTTCTTAGTTGAAACAGGGTAAAAATTCACAGTCCAGAGTAAGTGTCCTTAAATTTTTATCTATTGAAGATGTGCAAAGGATTTGTGCAGCAATTTTATTAGTTTTAAGAATATTCTCCTTAATTTAATACATAATTTATTTTAAAGTAAATGGAATATGCCATTGCGCCAACGTTATTTTATTGATGCGTTTATTACATTGAATGGGAATAAACCGTGACGTAATAATTTGACGTCATAATGTGCACTTGCATCAATATACTGTGGGTACTAAGAATGTATGAGAAAATAAATTTGAACTTTCTGTGTACATAAAATATACAATTTGTGAATTTGTATTAGCTAATAATGCAAATTCACAAATTGTATATTTTATGTACAGGGAAAGTTCAAATTTATTTTCTCATACATTCTTAGTACCTGTGGTAAGGATGGCTCCGCCTCGCCAGGTATGAAATTTACTAACCAGATATCATCCTATACCCTGTCACTAAAAGACTATGTAACTAATAATACACTTCAACAAATGAAAACATCTGGTTTTCTGTCAGACTGTCTCACTTTGTTTGCCGAAAATTAACTTTTAGTGTATCTTAATGACCTAAAAAACATATTTTGTCCACTTTATAAATTTTGACAGAATTATCATGGCCTCTTTAATTATTAAGTTTTTTTGGGAATTAATTTTTTTTCAAAACGCCTTATCGATAATTTCACCGGACAAGCCCTTATATGTGTGCAAGTATTTATCCTGTTTTTTGTTCTTATTGTATTTAACCGTGGTTCGTCGGTCAAAAAGCATTTTATACCTTTCTCCGTATGAGGAAATATGTGAAAACGCACACGGATAGATATTAAAGAAACCCCTAAAATAACTCAAGATGAAAGAGAAATCTTAAAGTGTATGACTGTTTAAAAAAATCAAATTGATATCCTTATTTCTTTATTTCTTCCCAGTGATTCAGAGTCAGTAATGCGTCTGAAAGCTTTCTAATTTGCATCTTCCCTATTGTGAAGGAAATAAATCACAAGATACATGTACATACATGTAAGATATAAACAGTCTATCTACAAAACATGTCATTAGATCCATAGGATATTTTTCAAGATGTCGTACAAAATATTGATTAAGTTTCTTCCATATCATTGTTGTTTAAGAAGCATAAAAACAAATCTCAAAAATTTTTCTTGTTCAACATGAGAAATATGAGAGTGGAAACCATTGCCGACGTGTGTGACCGGTCGTCAGGGGATTCTCACTCTTCCATGGCACCTGATCCCACCTCTTATATTTGGAGGTCCTTGTTTGATCTGTTCCTATTTTGTATTTTTATTATTTGTAGATTTTCTGAAGTCTATCATTGCATGTTATCTTCACCTACTATATAAAGTATACACTGCACATCAAATTATCCTGTTTGAGCAATGCATATTTTGTTTTCATGTAATTTTTACTCTGTTTATATTTTTGCCCGCAATAAATTTGTTATCGTCCATTTATTCGGATTAATTGAAGCTGTGGCTTTCATTTTTAAAAGGTGTATTTCTTGTGACTTTTTAAAATCTTTGATAACACCTATTGACCTTGAGTTTGCATTTTGATCCACTTTTTCTCGAATTTATTAAACGTAAATCTATGTCATAATTTTAAAAACGGACTGTTTTCCTTGATATGCTTTTTTTAGTCATTAAACCTCTCCCTTGACACAAACATTTTTGATTTTTTGAACTTAGACTAAGAAATAATTTAACTGTACCTTTCAGTACAACTATTTTTTTAAAAATTGATCTTAACTTTTATGCTTGCAGTAGGGAAAAATCTGACCTTTGAAATAAGCAGCCATGCAGTAACTTAGATGTTTATAAATTAACAAAGTGTGGTTGCCTTGAAATGAATTTGAAATAAGATTAGTAAGAAGCAGTTTAAAACTTGTAAAACATGAAAATATATCAATGAGCTATGATTTGTGTACTTGAAAGATTATATTCAATTAAAGATTTATAGTTTGGTGTTGACAAACAAGATAAACTAGATGCTGTCATGAGACAGTAATACCCGCACTAAGGTGTTTGCCTCTAAATGCACACTTCTTCATATTGGGCTTTACTTAGGAAAAAGTCAATATAATTCAATAATTTACATAATACATGTTTTATCAAATTGAGCATAATATGCTCAGGTGACCATGTGACCCATGGGCCTCCATCTAATAGGTATTTCATATTCTTAATTCATTACCAGTTTGAAATTAAACAACAGAATTAAATTAATGATGTAAATTAGGTTTGATAAAGGGGGGGGGGGGGGTATAAATTTTTGGCACATAATTGGAACTTTTTAATTCTATTTTCTCATATCTATAGATCAACAACAAATAATATTATTCAAATTAGTATGAAGCATTTTTGATGAATTTTTCAAAATGTGCAAAATTTATTTATATTTGATTAGGCAGTTCTAAACTTCTTGAAAGCTGCCATATACACAATCAATTTAGTCAACCCCCAAACCTCTCCCATCAACACACACACATAAACACACCTTATTTGCCTGTTTTTGGAAATAGGCCTAGATGGCAAAGTTAAGAT